CCTAAATTAAATAAAGATTAGGCAGGGCTAATTACATGATTTTTACATTTAATGGTTTAACATAAAGTTGGAATAAAATCAACTATTTTCGCCCATGTTTGACTCAGATAACCAATACAGTGTATTATCTTGTTATTTTAATATACTGCTAGATATTTTGTATTTTTCTTTTATTATTCTCTTGCTAATAGCTAATATTTATGGAACTCTTACCATATACTAGGCAGCTAACTAAATATCCTTGTGCTGTTACACCTTGTTAATCTCCCCCAATAAACCAAAGAGGTAGCTACAATTGTTACTTCTCATTTTACAGGAAGGTGAGACTTAGGTATGAAAGTAGCAGTGCTAGGTCTGAAATTGAGGCCTATCTGCCTCTAAATTGAACCCCTAAATGTTTATATTTTTCTACTCCCTTCAGTTATGTATATTTTCAGCAATATTATCTTAAAAACAAAGTAAACACAGATGTCTTTAGTGTCAGAACACAGACTCAAACACAACCTAAAATCTCAAGGGAATTTCTTGAAGGAAAAGAAGAAAAGAGCAGAAAGGTAATGCTGAAATTGCGAACACGCTATTAAAAAAATACTATTTCCTGAGAGTGCCAGTGGTTAGAATTTTTTTATCATAGACAAATTTTTCTCATGAAAAGGTCTAAATTTAGGCTAATACTAATTCTCCCCACTGCCTCTTCCCCTTTTTCCTTTGCTTTTGTTATTAACTGGAGAATATAAGTATTTTAGAGAAACTTGTTTTGCAGCCAGCTTTGCCATAATGCAGGTAATCCATTAACCAAGAAATAATATAAATGGAGTGTTAGACACAAATTCAAAACCTTTGGGAGGTTAACCCTCTTTGGGAAAAATAGCCCTAAAATCGTGAGTAATGATCACAACTATATACTATAATCCATGTATACTTTCTGATGATGAATTAAGTTTCCTTCAATGCTTCTATGACCCTCTAAAAATAATTTCTGCCACAACATGTATCCAGAATCCAGGGAATTATGGGCCATTTCATTCATTTGTCTTTCCTATAGAGCAGAATGAACCAACCAAAGACATCTAGAGAATTAATACCTACTCTAAAAAGTGGTTTAGGAATACACCATAATGTTATTTGCATTCTGCTTTCAGCTTTTTATACAATTGAAAAACAATAACAATAAGTTATATCAAAATAAAAATTCACTTTTGTGAATTTTGAAAGATGACTCAAATGCTAGTAAAATTAGGAAATTAGTAAATGGTATAATCAGGTCATTTAAAAATTAACTTTGTCATTAGTTCCAGTAAAGTAGAAAGATTTCAAAATAGAAAAATAAAAATATGAATGCTCAATATTTGTCATTAAAATTCATGTCTGTTTCTAAAAGGCGGTAGCGGGGACAGTTTGGGTCCACACTCTGTTCCTACTATAATTCAGCCAAGGTAGATCTAGATGAGTTTATTTAAGTGGGGGCATTTTAGCAGACAGCAAGAGAGCTTTCCAGTGTTAGGGAAAAAAAGAAGATAGAAAGGACAGCAAAATGTCTGTCTCAAGCACTTCCACCCACAAGTTCCATAGGGGTGTGCCTGAAAGCAGAAACGACCAAAGATTCTTTCACAAGGGATTCATGTGAGAAAGCTGGGTTATAAGCAGTGCTGCTATGCTACCAATGTAGTGAGGGGTCATTCAGCAAGAGAAGCACTCTCTCTACTTCCATACACATGCAGTGTGCTATCATCCTAACCTAGGCCAATTGAGGACCCCAGTGCAAGGGCAGGGGAGCACTGGAACCCTCAATAGAGAGAGCAAGCGAAGAGGAAAGCAGTTAGAATTGACCTATTAGGATTGTCGTGAAGATGTATGAATAACTCTCTGGGGGCCCCAATGTTAATGGATGAGATTTAGGAGAGGAAACTCTTTCAGCACATGATGGAAAAAAAGAAAAATATATCAGTAGTCATTAATGCATTCCCATTTGTCATCACAGACTAAAGAAGACTGGGTGAACACATCATTTTATTGTAACGTCTGTATCTTACAGACCTCAATAGGCTAATAATAACATAAGTCCTTTTTGACTAAATATAAATCAAGACATTCACAACTGAGATTCAACTGATGACCCTGGTGATTCTATCAAGAACAGTCTCTGCCCAGGGACAGAGTTCTAATAGATACTTGTGAATCTACTCATCAGATATCTGCTTTATAATATTTCAGAGGCTTTTTTGTTGTTGTTGTTTTCACCTTGGACTGCTGAAATTATTTGAGATGTACTGAAACAATACCATGAATCATCAGTACATGGATGTACTAAACAATTAACTCAGGAACACGAATAATAAATTAGTGTGTTGTACAGATGTGAAATATGACTCTCTCCGAAATGAATAAGCCCCTTCAAACTCCAATGGCTATAAATAAATTCCATATCGCAGATCTGATATCTTTCTTTCTGCAGCATCTCTAGACTAATTCTTCATTGGGTCTCATTCTGGTTCTTGACTGGTTGACTCTAGAAGCATTCAGACAGTCGCTGCATTTTCTCAGTATCCTGTCTACACAATATAAGGACTTATTGCCCATTGCCATTAACAGCAATCAGCATTTTTGTTTTTTCTTTTACTGTGATCATTGTTGTCACACAGCCTTCCTTGGCCATTGTATAATTCCACAATGCCAGTAGGTGGGCTCTCTTGTGGTCTCTTTTCTATGTGCTTTACTTAGATTTTTTCTTCATTTTGAACTTTGGCTATAATGAAGTCTTTTGAAGAGGCAAGATGACATCCCCTTGGAGATTAAAATACTTTTCCTGCTTAACAAATTCCTTCCTGTGAAGCATCTAGCAGACAGGCAGTTAAGACCTACTATCCTAAGTCCTTGCTACTAAAGTGCAGTTCGTGGCAGCACCATCAACCTCACTTGGGGGCTTCTTGAAATGCAGAAATTCAATCTTTATTATGCTTGAAAGAACACAATAAATTTGAAAAGGTCAGTCCTGGATCTATAAGTTCATGTTACATCTTTCCCGTTTAATGCTTCAACTTGTCAAAACTCATCTACCTGTCACTTATCTTTACCCATCACCACTATCACCCTAGCAGCTAACACTTACTTGAGCTGTGCCAAGTTCTGTGCTAAGTTCATTTACATTCTTCGCTAAGAACTGAGAAATAGGCACAAATACCACCATTATGGAGTGAGCAAATAAACTCATTGTTCACAAAAATTTAGTCTTTCTCCTTTGGGTGTGCAAAAAAAAAAAAAACCCTTGAGGAAAACAGACTCTTTGTCTGATATGCATTATCTTTTAATATATTTGTAACTGTCTGCTGAGCACTGACATTTTGTATGCAAGTCATTACTTATGATTTATGACAGTATTACTTATTACACTGACACTCTGTATGTAGACTGTTACTCAATATGAGTAATAGAACATCAATTGTGGAAATGAGAACAAAAGAGAAAAGACCTCATTCAATAGCAATAAATAGAAAAAACTATATGGGAATTATTAATTATATATGACATTTTAACATTTAGAATGCAATTAGAATAAATGCTAATTAAATGTTTTCAATATGAATAAGATTCTAAGTCATGCTTCAAAACATAGACCCTCAGCTTCAATTAAAAGGTGATGGAATGTTTCCCCTTCCCACTTCCTAGAAGTGCTGTAATTTCCTTCTTTCCAGGAGAGTAAAAATTCTAAGAGAACGTACACTTCAGTTTTGCTTAATTTTTTCCTTAAGACCACAGTCCCATTTGTACAGGTGAAGACCATGGGCAATACAGCATTTCTCCAGAAACTGCCCAAACTTACTTTCTCTTTATATTCTTTTATATACACTTCACTGCATTCTCATTTTCCTTTGGAAAGGCTGAACATGGCCAGCTGAGCAAACATTCCTAACCGAGATAATGCACTCTTAAATGTACTGAAATTCAACTGAACATACTTAGAGGAAAAAGTACTTCACATCTGAAATGTACTTCAAAATTTGCCTATTTTTCTCATGGTGTTTCACAGCAACTCCAAACATGAAAATCACCATTTCAAGATTCTTTCTCTTCTAGGCTTTGTGCAAGCTCTTAGCACAATACGCACAAACTATGAACTTGGCATTAAAAAAAAATTGCTTTCAATATGTACACGGTATTTCAAACTCAATCTATGTATTCTTGATACATTTTGCTAATGTTCTTGACTACTTGAACCCCAGCCTTTGCATTTCCCATTACTTAAGACTTTACTCAAATCACATCCTTGGTAGACTTCTCTGACCACCCAGACTATAGTCTCTCAAATTATGTTAGTTACTCTTTGATACTTCTAAACCTACCCATAAATTAAAAGATGCCTTCACTTTCCTTTTTTTGACCCTTTCACTTTTCATTTCCACATAGCAGCCAGCACAGCAGCTTGTATATGATAGCTTTCAAATGTTAAGTCCACAATAAAATGGGGAGAAGGAACTAAAACTCTGATAGTTGTTGAGATTCCTTTCATTCATATACTATGTAGGTAATTTGAGCACTGTCTCAGCCTATTATTGCAATTGTTATATTTCTGATTATCAAAATCTGGATATCTTGCATTGTCAAAAATGAACTAAAAGTGACTTCAAAATTGAATAGTTAAAATAATTGATTATATTAATTTGGTTGACATGTTATTACTGCTGTTATTGAACAGTTAAATAATATTTTAATATCCATTATTTGTATTTTAATAGCATGTTTTTAAAGAGCAGTTTTATTTGTCCTCGGATGGTAATTATTATGACCACAGAACTAGATGAGCCAAAGAGGCCTCAATTGTTCCCTCTTTCCAAGGTGGTCTACTCCTAAACTGCATTTTTTAAAGCATCATAGACCACTTCCCTAGGAAAATAGAGTAACCCCTATTGGATTATATGGTGCAATTCCTTTGAACCTCATTTATTACCTATCAAATCTAATTCAAAATTTTCATGTTGTAGTTTAAGAAACCACTAAAAACATTTTAGGCAAAATAAATACTTTATTGTTTTAATTTTTTTAAAAGAAATCAGCCTTTGTGTGATATTTCAAACATTTATAAGCCTTTTAGATTCTTTCAAAGAACACTGTTAACAACTTAACCACTTTTGATTAAAATATCACACACAAAGAAACACAATAGGAGTTGAAAAATCATAAATGCTAGATGAATAATTCTAATAACATTTGGTGGTTACTTTACACATTTATTTAACACATATAAAACCAAATAGGAAAACATTTTCCTTTTTTTTTTTTTTTTTTTTCATAAAAACAAATAGCTTTCACTGGTTAAAACTGAACTAAAATCATTTTATGTATGGAAGAGAACAAATCATTTTGAAAAAAGAGAACTTCCATTTTGAAAAAACAAACACCAGCTTATTCATTTCAATTCATTCAAGTCATGGGCTCCATTATTTGGATGATACTCTACTATTTAGTCTGAAAGACAGAAGAATAAACATCTCCATCTAATAAAGAAGTCTGGACAATGCAAAAACTGAAAGTACATAGTGTTTAACATAAGGCACATTATAAGAAAAATACTATGTAAGAAATGATAAAATTACATTTGTCTTGAGTAAAGCAACAAGGTTTACAGTGTAAGAACATTAAGTAGTTGTAGGTAACCTCATATAATTCTATCCTACTGCTATTAGTAACCTCTTCAAGAATTAAGAGCAATTTTTTTTTAACAACAGAACAGTTTTTCTTCTTGGTAGTGACATTAAGTAACAGCAGTGGAGGGAAAAATTGGTTTCTTCAGGCTCTCAAAAAATGAATCAGTTATTGCACAGTAAATACCTCATAGAGGTCAGTGTTTAAGAAGCTAGTATGAAGAAATATGTTATTTATAAGTTGGATAAGTCTGGAAGTCTTCAAGTTTTATAATTAATTCTAATAGGGATTCAAATGAAAAATATTGACATACAAATAAATATTAGGCTTTTCAAACTGCTACAGTTTTTGATAGTTTAGAAAAGAAACAGCAAAGTGCCTAAGTTTCTATGTATGTTTTTTTAAAAGATACGCTTGAAGAAATACACATTGTACACTGTATACAGCAGCCCAGTTCAGCAGCAAGTATCTTCTAAAGCACAAGTAACACCTCCACCAGTGCCTATCATTGGTAACTCCTGTATTAAACAGCTAATAGGATCCATGCCAACCTTAAAAAAGAAAAGAGAAGTCAACTTTAAAGCTCTTTCAAATACTCTTATTAAAAGCTTCTTTAAAGGGGGATGAGAATTCTATGCAAATATATGCATATAAACATGATTATTCTGTAACCTTGATGCATCTTCCTGAGAGTTAATTCTTTTATCCCTGGCTTTAAAAAATTAATTCCTATTAATTGCTGTATGACATAATTTATTAAAATACTTTCCAATTTCCTATACCTAAAATTGTATATTATACTTTTCAAAGTACATTTGTTTCTCATGTTTTATTCAATTAGTATTTTAGTTCTATTAAAAGTATTATTCTGCTCAACTGTATTATTTCTTTCTGCATTCACCAAGAATTGTTATTTATATATATTATATAAAATGAAATTGGAGCTAAAGCAGGGGGATCACTTGAGGCTAGGAGTTCAAGACTAGCATGGGCAGCATAGCAAGACCCCATCTCTATAAAAAATTTTTTAATGTAATTACAGCTGTGAGATAAAATGAAAGTAATTCATTTTACTAAGTAAGAAACGTAAGACAGTTTTTTGAAATAAATTATTATTAGAAATGAATCTATGGGATATGTTTCTTTGAAAGATAAAAATAATTAGGAAAGATACTTAGAAGTTATGATTAATTCACAAAATCTTGTTCTTTAAAACTGTACATTTGAAATACTATTAAAATCAAAGTAAGATTCAGGTTTGAAGGTTCAATTCCAGGATTTGTTACTATAATGAAATTTTAGTAAAATGACCCAATATAAGTAATTCTTGAAGGTTTGTATTATGGGATTTGACTTATAGTTCAAATAGGCTTGGATGAAGTTTTCACACTGTAAAATAACATATTACATACTTTCTTAAACTCAAAATTTAACTAGAGAGCTAGGCCTGCATACTAACAAAACAAAGAATAAAATACCAATTACTAATTTACATCAGCTCAACAAAGAAATTTAGAAAACTTTACCTATAATTTCTGTTTAATGAGTATCTTGCTTAGAATTAGATGCTTTACTTGAAGATACTGCTGCCAAAAGTCCACTTACAATTTCCCGTCTGATTTCCCCAACGATAGACTCTTTAATCTAGATTGGAAAAACAATAAAATAAAAATTTACCAACATGAATGTAATTCAGTTTTTCCTGTTTTTTTAAAAAAACAAATAGCATTCAATTTCTTAATTTTACCTTCATGTGAATCTCCCTGTAATACAAAGAGAAAGTGGGGAATCGAGTCCATCTATCCTCCAACCCAGATCAGACTCTGAGGGCTGTTCTAGAATTACTCAGCTAACTAGATTACCAATATCACAATTCATAAGGTGAGGATGTTAGAAAATGTTATTTCATAAATTAAAAAACTTGTAGTAAATACTTTACTTCACGTCAAAAAAATAATCTGGAAGGACTGCTTAAATGTTTTTAGTATTGTCTACCTTTTTAAGGTAATCAGCAGATAGACAAGTCTTCTCATTGCTGAGAAAATCCTTTAGAGGAAAAATAATATACAGGTATACTGCCTGTTTATACCAACTGACAGCAAAGTATCTAAAGACAGTATATATTATTCTAACCTAATACACACATTTTAAATGGGAAAAAGAAATTATCATTTAGTACAATTTAAAACATGAAAAACATCCTCAAAACAGCCATACTCTAAAAAATAACTTTTTCTTTAGTTGCATGATATGATTGCTACCTGTCTACAGCTTTTGTTTACCATATACATATAGGTTATGAGGATATACATCTCATTTTATTATTGGAAAAGGCAAATAGACCTGAGGCAATGACAATTCCATCAGGCTTTCTTCTCCAGATGATGTCTAAACACTTACATGTGCCTGTCTCCACCTTTTCTCTCTAATGACACAGCATCACTTTTAAATAGCCCTTTGTGGAAACTATAAATGTGTATTTCCTGAAATAAAATGATAATGTGTTTCCAAATAAGCATTCGAGATACTCTCAACAAGCTTTTAAAAATTTTACATTTCCAGTTTCCTGTCAGCCAAATTATTTCCTAAAAATGTTCCTAAGTATATCTCAAACACATCTTAACTGAAATCTTTCCAAAAATGGCGCTGTATTTGTCCATCATGCAAAATTGGTACACAATACAGTTATACATAGTTATTCAAAGAAACAAAACACACATTAGCTACCAACCATCTGTACTAGAATATATTTAAATAATATAAGCTTTTCACTTTACCTTTTATCAATATTTCTAAACTTCAAACATCAAAAGATTTTTGAAGCTCATAGCACTTCAGATTTACTTTTCAAACAAGTATGGGTTAGATACAAGTATTATAAAAACCAGAATCTTAGTCACAATATATAAAAACAAATACAATATACTGAATTAGAACCACTGCAAATCTATATGCACAAAACAATGAGTATAGTCTTTCCAGTCCTGCTTCCAATGCAATATGGCCATTTTATTATATCTCATTATTATTCTTCATAAAAAAAACAAATTGGCCAACATGTATTCTTGACAAACCAAAAATGTGTCAACATTTTTTGGGAGTACAGACATTATTGGAGTAAACTGCTCTACTATCAAGCATGTGCAAATTTTAATAGACACAAAATAAACACTGTTTCATAAAATATCTTATTTATTTGTTTTTTTGAGACAGAGTCTCCTTCTGTTGCCCAGACAGGAATGCAATGGAGCAATCTCGGCTCACTGCAACCGCTGCCTCTCAGCTTCAAGCAATTCTCCTCATATGAGTGGCTGTGATTACCACCACACCTGGCTAATTTTTGTATTTTTAGTAGAGACAGGGTTTTGCCATGTTGGCCAGGTTGGTCTCGAACTCCTGACCTCAGGTGATCTGCCTGCCTCGGCCTTCCAAAGTGTTGGGATTACAGGCATGAGCCACTGCACCCATCCAGTTTCATAAAATATTAAGGAAAACTAATTTATTAATTCATTAATGACATAAAAACAGAAAAAAAATTGATAAATTAGAAACTAGTATGGGATAGAATTCCCAGAGAATGGCAGCTTTTATGTGGTATGTCACAAAAAGGAAAGAACAATTTCAGATGACAGTGGAGATAGAAAACTCTGCAGCAAGTTGGTCTCAAATGAGAAGGACATATAATGGAGCCTAACTGCCAAGACAGTTCCCTCTAGAGAGCAGAAGGGAATGAGAATAGGAACGGTGAGGTCAGATGGAAGGTGTACTGTGAGCTCCTTCAGCGAGCGGATCAGGTCTCATTTATCAGTGTATCTCAGCATACAGTAAAGACGCAGTAAGTGTCGGAATGAATTTATGAGAGTGAGAAAGCACAAGAGCAAGAGACAATGTAAGACACAAAAAGGAAGAGAAAGCAGAAAAACAAAAGCAGACTACAGATAGAATAGCCCTGAAAATAACACAATATATTTAATAATTTATTGAAGGAAAAAAATGTATGGACAAATAATTTAGTTCTAAAGTCTCCCATGCTATGGAGAGGCTGGAAGGATTCGAAGTAAGAAAACACCCCTGGGATGGATTGTAAAATTACCTTTATAAGCACGATTTCAAAAAAAAAATGGAGGCTAAATACAGACTACCTGAGATTGAGAAAGGCATACTCATAGATAAAACAAAAAGACTGAATTCAAGTCTCAAGTGTGGGGCAACACATCCACTTATTGTGCTCTACTGAGTGCCTACTAAGTGGCAGCTATTACAAGTGATCACTAAAAGAAGTTTCTGTAAGAACACATGAGCAAGCTGTATATTTACCAAAATACATGGGTAAAACATCTCAGATGTTCTGTAGCAAAGATCCTAAAGGCATGAACCAAGTCTACAAACTCCAATTAACAAAGAACTCGCTAAACACAAAGCAATCTATGTTTACTCTTTGACACATAATTTTGTCGAATTTGCCTCTGTGGGCATATATTCATTTATTCTATTAAGTAATCCTTTTATTTACACACATTTATACATTTTTAAAGCAACTGCAAATAGTTTCAGGCCACTATCACATACATCACAGATGACTTGGGCAAATTTTAAGACAGTATGTACTTTTTTCCTACTACAATACAATGTACATGCAGAAAAGAAATAGTTTTAATATGACAAAAATTTAGCTATTTAATGAGTGTATTAAATATCTGTCTGAAAACACTTTCAATGTTGTCCTTGAATAGGGTGAATGCTGAGTTTGCTAAGGAATTCTACTGTATTAACATATTATAAATGATGAAAACATTTTTTTTAAGCCTCCCTTAATGGTACAATGAAGAAACAAAGGCCTGACAGATACCACTGTTTTCATGCATCCATGAATGCAGTAAGAAAACTTTCCTCAAAATGCCGGCCAAACATGCTTAATCCTCACCTGCAAAACTGTTCAAACCAAGATTAAATCCTGCCTTCCTGAATGCTGGCTTTGTTAATGGGATTAGGGGCTCAGAACTGCTAGGAAGACAGAATCTAATTTAATTTTCTTGGTAGCTGTACACCAAGATTTTAAAAAGTTGGAATTTAGTACAATAAGTAGTTATTGTACTACTTGTACAAATTGGTAAAAAGGTTACCAATTTGAATGACTGGAATAAAAACCAGCCTGAATTTTAAATACTTTATAAACAAACAGAAAAGCATTGTAACTAAGATAATATTAACATAAACTATTTTTTAAATTACAACTGGCATTAAACTAATTTATTAAATGTGCTTTTAAAGTACTCCAAAATAATTTGCTTTCTTAAGTACAACAATACTCCTCTTATGCCTTGTTTGATCTATACATATTTTGCTTGGTAAGTCCTTTGTAGACAGTAAAAGAATAAATGTTGAACCCAACTTACTTAAGCCTATGCTAAATTTAGAACTAAGTAGTTTCTAATTAATGGTCTAAAAACAAATTCTGAAAAATTCTTTGAACATTTGCTTTGCATGTTAGTTTAAATGTCTGTAAATTATAAAATCTTTCATATTTAATGAGAGTTTCTTTTAAATAATTAATTCTCTAGGAAGAAGGTAGCCTAATGGGAATAACTAAATTTTCTCTATACTGTGTTTTATAAGCTGAAGAATCAACATTCTAGTGTAAAATGAACACTTTTATTCTTAGGAAATCACCTACAGGACATATCAGGCCAATAAAACTAAAAATGAGGATTCAAGTGGCATTGAATGGAGTATTTGTGCTAAAAGAGCAACATAAAGTTTTCAAAGAAAATTTTTGTACCAAAGCAAGCTAAGGGGAACAAAAACATCACATTTCTAGAATTTACAAAAAGTTACCTTAAAACCTGCTTCCTGAATAGGGTGAATGCTGAGTTTGCTAAACATTAGGCAGCCACAACCAACTTACAAAAATGATTACATTTGTAGGAAAAATAAATTTAAAGAATTAAGACCTTTAAACTTTTAGTTGATAGAGTCATATCATGAAAACAAATTACAGACATGAAGTCTTCTGCTGTAATACTTGTTTTGAAAATGTGATTTGTTTCAACATGATTGAAATATTAGAAAACTGCATGTACTACAAATTTCACATTGGCTTATATACAATTTAATCCACAGAATAATATTAGGTAAACACAGATAACTGCACCGAGCTGTTTCAAAGGGAGCTTTTAAAATTACATATTCTATTCCTTCCTATTACCTGATCTCAGTGCTAGAAACATTTATTTTACTAATTTACTCAACCTTTGACCTTTCACTACTAACCTTCATGTGTAATATTTTTTGCAGTTCTTTTGGTCATCCAGAACTATGGTAATGCTTCAAGTTCTTATGCTGCTATCACCTAGGGCAAACCCTCTTTTCTATTATGATTTTTGAACCAAAAACACCAAACCAAATCAATCAAATTATTTATACTTACTAATATCACAATCATTTTCTCATATCAACTGAAATTATAAAAAGTATGTAATATATATATGCTTTTTATATATATATTTATAATATATATATTTATTTATTATTTTTTTCCTGAGACAGAGTCTTGCTCTGTCGCCCAGGCTGGACCACTGCAATCATGCAATCTTGGCTCACTGCAACCTCTGCCTCCTCCTGGGTTCAAATGATTCTCCTGCCCCAGCCTCACGAGTAGCTGGGATTACAGGCATATACCGTGCCCAGCTATTAAAATGTAGCTTTTAATCCTCCAAGAAACCTAAACTGTAATTCCTCACCTTGTAGATGTGAAAACAAGAGGTCCAAAGGGTATGTCTTATGTTTATTTTGAGTCCCACATACATCTTTATCACCACAGTGAACACAGAGAATTGTAATTATTTCACACTAGAGTATAAAATTTGCAGAAATGCTATTACCAAAAGTATCTAACAGATACAAACTTGATCAATAGGAAAGTTAATTTAAAATCTCTATGAAAATTACTGAATGCAGTGAATCAACAGAACATCCTATAATTTTCAATCAAAATCTCCTCTAACACATATCTCCAAATAAATGAATTAAACACAGATTTTACCCACCTCCCGTATGACTTGCTGCAACTCATCTTGCTCCACATTTTTATGCATTTCCTCAGCAGCTGGCATTACTGGGAGTTTTCCATGCCCTTCTTCCACTTCAGATTTAGGTCCTATAACCTCTGGGACTTCTTCAGCTGCATCAACTTCCTCAGAACTTTCCAAATCTGGAGGTGTCTGTACAGAGCCTGTTCTAGAAGGAGCTGTTGGTGTTAGAGCCACCGATGCTCGGAATACTTTCTTCCTTGCCACTAATGGGGTTTTGGGTTTGCCCACTGAGGCAGTAGAAGGTACTCCAGTTTTTTTATTAGTATGAGAGGGACCAGAACATACAGAAGATGATTCTGATGTTGCTTGGGAAAAAACAGATTCTGAGCTTTCTCCAGGAGGAATTTCAAATCCCATTTCTCCAAGTCCTAGACCCAATTCAGACTTCAGGTATGACTGTTCCTGTATCAGTTCGGTGACCTGGAGTTTATAAAAAAAATGTTATTTTTCTCTCTTGAAATTAAGATTGGTAGCTAAAAAGGGATTACAGGCATATACCGTGCCCAGCTATTAAAATGTAGCTTTTAATCCTCGAAGAAACCTAAACTGTAATTCCTCACCTTGTAGATGTGGAAACAAGAGGTCCAAAGGGTATATCTTATGTTTATTTTGAGTCCCACATACATCTTTGTAACAACTAAAGTCCTGGTTGTTACTACTGCCCAAAAATCACATAATTTGTAAAGACATAAACCTATTATGTCTTTGCTCTGTCACCCAGGCTGGAGTGCAGTGGCACAATCAGAGCTCACTATAGACTTGAGCTCCTGGGCTCAAGTGATCCTCCCACCTTGGCCTTCTGAGTACCTGGGACTACAGGCACACATCACCATGCATGGCTAATTTTTAAAGAGAAAGGATCTCACTTTGTTGACTAGGCTGGTCTCAAACTCCTGGCTTGAAGCAATCCTTCCATCCCAGCCACCTAAATAAAGTGCTGGGATTATAGGTATGAGGCACTGTACATGCTTTTTATAGTCCATTATCTCAGAAAGATAAATCACTATTTCAAATAAGATGGCTTTCTAGTGGCTTAAGACACAGTGGACTTTCAAGAGTGCCAAACTCACTTCCAATCAACTATAATTTATCAAATTATGTATTTAAAACACACATACATTTCATCTAAACTAGGGAAACTATGTGTCTATGAAATGTTATATTATTCCCTTCCCCAGTGATTTAAAAGGAAAGAAGCTTACTGGTTCCATTATATTCGATGGAGAAGGGCATGACAAGTTATCAGCGCTTCTACTGCCACACATTCCCTGAAAAGGTAAGAAAAACATACATATATACACACACACACATACACACACACATATATATTTATAGTGTACATATATATTTTTTCAAATTGCAAGAGTTTCATAATAAAATTAATTGACTATTGCCTGGAAGCATCCCTTCCTGTCACAAAAGTTACCTCAAGTGTCACAGATCCCATAAAATGCATTATTGTGAGTTAAAACTGATACAATATGCACAGAGGATGTTCTAGTTCTCCACCATCACCACCATCACCAACACACACTTCTCAGAATGATAGATGAAAACCATGTTGAAAAGTACATTCATTAGCAATACAGATATTCTTATTCAATGCTACACATACATGTATGTGTATACTCAGGTTTATTCCACTTCATTTGTAGTACATACACACATAAGTGTATGTGTGCATATTCATCTTTTTCATTTTAACAACATCAAATACACTGTTAAGAGTAATTCACTGTTTCAGCATCTCAAAGCAATATGTTCTACAACTTCAAAGATATTCTCAAAATAAAAATGCAACTGTTGAAGTTCAAATGTAATGGAAAGAAACAGAAGTATAAAAAGTGGTACAAAATGTGTTTCTTTTTATTCTCTTGGATATATAATCTATCTATCTCATTATATAGATAGGAAAATATATATATGTATCGATACATATAAGAAAATATATACGTACCACTTGATTCCTTTAAATACAAATGGAAAAGAATACAAAATAAATAAAAAGTTTAAACATATTTATTTAATGGTAAGAAAGAAAAAAATGAGTAAAATACATATTTGTGTTCTCTGCACTTACATGCAGCTAGTAAAATTTACATTAGTCATATGTTAATTTACTATAATTTTTCCTTGAGAAACCCTCAACTTTTGTATTAACCCTTATTCTTTCCAATTATTAAAATTTATCATTAAAAATTTGCCATATTTCTAAACATACTATTTATGACAATTATTACAACTGATTTGTGGGAAAGCTCCTTAAGGAGTATGCATGCTTTTAATTTTTATTAAAATAAATGACTTGAAATGAAGGCACATGTCCTAAATTATTGGAACATTATAAATAAACCTTGGTTGAAAACTCTACCACCCTCCAGGTAGCATACCATGAGTGCAGAGGATCGGAAGGGTGAAGGCATGCGCACAGCACGAAGCTGCTCCTCCAGGCCCAGCAGGCGCTCCTCCAGCTGCAGTTCCAGGTCCTGAAGTTCCATTCGGACGGAATTTCTCAAGCCCTGGAGCTGATCAACTTCAAACCTATTGGCATGGTGAAGGGCACAAAGTTTGAAAAATGCAGTTGGGAGATTCCTAATCACAAATCTTTCAACAACTACTATATACTAACAGAAGGTGCTGACATCTCAGGTTCTGTAAATTAGTACAACATCAACTACAATAGGTGTACCCACTAGGACATCGGTCTTTCTTTCCTTATCCTCTCACAAATATCTCAAACACTGGACCCTGAGGAGTTTACTTAGTAAAACACTATGTATGACTAATTTTATCTACACTGGTTCACAAAACAGATACAAAGTATACAGCAGTAGAATCAAAACCTAATTTCAAAAAACAGAAGTTGAAAAGACTTTGAATGAAAGCTTTTTGAGCTGTGCTAAGACAAAATGAACTTTTACCTTTCCTCCTCAGTCATATGATGATAAACCATACTTTGCTGACGCAGCATTGCCAATTCTAAATCCATCATTTGTGTTCTAAACAAATTCAGGCTCCGCCTCATTACCTGGAGCTCCTGAAAAGTATTCTAGAATGCAACAGAAGAAAATTACACTTCTAAATTCTACAAATTATTTTGGAAAACAAGGATGTAAGTAAGAACTTACTTCATAAAGAGGTAGAACAGATGATTTCTGAGTACTATATGCAGCAGCAGCAAGATCAGGTCCTCTCATCATAGGATACTTCAAAAAAGTAGAAGTAGGATTAAAATCAATGTTAAAGTGACTACTTCCAAATTACTTAAGAGGTTAAAAAAGGGAGAATCTGGGGCATACATATTTTTCTCTTTAAGGCAAAAGGATCCAAAAATCCTTCATATTGTAAGCAGGAAAAAAGAAATCAGTCCTCAATGACATTTACTACTGCTAGCAGTTCCAAGAATAAGCCAATCTATGTGGGAGGAGGAGGCGAAGGAACATATGTAGTTCAGATCTATTTCTTTCAGGGCTTCCCTCTTACCTGGAGAAAGTTAAAAAAAAATCAAAACGCAAAAATGCAGAGGCCCTTGCAAATATCATCATGAGATTATAGTGATTATTAACTCTGCTGGAAAGAGGAGCAAGCAATCATCATCATCTTTTTTAGACATCTGAGCACTTCCTATATCCCACTATTTTAAGCAGTGAGATAAAAACATAAAAGGTATTCCCAGCCTTCAGGTGTCCTCACAGTGTAAGGAAAAATAAAGGGAATTTTTTAAAAATTATAATACTGTGAAAGGAGTGCTATGATGGACACACAACAATTCAGATTACATGAACTTTCCAAAAGTGGTGACACTACTTGAACTGACCCTTAAGTAAGTAGGGCTTGATTGTGCAAAGAAAGGCAAAGGCAGGGTGATTCAGGTTTAAAAAAAAGGCAGGGGGGAGTGGCCTGTAGTCTCAGCACTTTGGGAGGCCAAGGCAAGAGGATCACTTAAGCCCATGAGTTCAAGGCTGCAAGGAGCTGTGATCACACCACTGTCTCCAGCACTCCATGTGGGTGACAAACAGAAACTTCATCTTTTTATTTAAAACAAAACAAAACAAAACAAAAGACAGCATGTGCAGATACCTAAGAATATACAACTGTTTAGAGCCCTGTGCATAGTTTTCCAGGATGGGTGGAACACACAGCTAAAAAATGTGGCTGGACAAGTCAGAGACCACATCACAGAAAGCATCCGTCCACTAGTGTGGGGTGGGGTGAGCATGGGGAGATTTACTAGCTGAGTTATTGCTGGGACATCCAGGAGAAAGAGACCACAGCTGAAGCAGAAGAACGAGGTGGCCTAGAAAGAAAGATGCAGGTGGACAGGCCCCTGGAAATCCCCAGCTTGACATAATTACAGCTGCAAGTTTAAACATCTCTGTCACAGACAGAACAACATTTTCTAAGGAGGAACAAGAAACACCCACATTCTGGTAAAACAGAAAACTGTTTGGGGACAACTGTCATGAGGATAAAACCCACAGTTAAGAGAAGGTGTATCTTACTATAACTTGAGAAGTTACACCTTTGATTTTTTACTTTCCAAGTGGCTCCTGTCTACTATGTCATGATGATAAGAGATCTATTACATTCATTCTAGGCCTCCTGACTCCTTGTTGAATGCTCTCATGACTATATTACATTGCCATTTTTTTCAATCCCCAGTTGTCCAAATATGATGTCTTCAGAGAGAATTTTCAAGAAAATGTAAAAGGCAAAACTGAAGATAACTCACTTATTTTCAAAGATTTTTTTGAAAAATTATTTCCAGTCCACTAACAAATATGAGAATGGTGACTAAAAGTGACAAGACATGCAGAGTATTTTAAATCAAATTCACACTTTACCTGATTTTTTTTTCTGGTCTGGAGTAGTTCCAGTCTTTGAGTCCAGTGGAAGTAGACTAACTCTGTGCACAGCATCAGGGGTCAGTAGGTGAAGGGAAAAGCTTAGTCAGAGAGCTACGAGCATAACCAGGAGAACGTGGTGCCACAGAAGCCAACAGGGAGAAAACTTAGAAAAGGAAAAGGTAGTCAACATGGTCAAACAGCACAGAAAAAGAGAGAAAGTACTATGAGAGGGAAGATTTCTTAATAATAGAAACGACTTGACCAAGATTATAGACTAAAACAAAGACAATGGATGATAGACTAAAAATGGGAGGATAACTAATGAACAAAATCTCTCCTCTAGGAAAGGAGACAGACTATGAGCAGAGAAATAGACTTTAATAAGAATTAGTTACAGCTTCTCCCTTGAAACAGGAGGGAAGGTAGAAAAGGAGGGGAGATGCAGATAAGTTTGGGCATGTCAGAAAATAAAGCTGAGGTAGTTCACACTTGGTGAGTCTTAGGTTCTCTGAATTAAGAAGTGCTCAGAGCAATAAAAGAAAAAAGCTAATAAAAGATTTACTTTCTCTCATACCTGTGAAAGATTCTGCAGTGAGTTTCTAATATCGTGTAATACTCTTCGCAACTGCATTTCTATGGCTGAAGGAGGATTCACAGAGCACACTCGGTAAGGGTAGGTGGCATGTCTGTGTGAGTAAGGACACCCAAAAGGGGAAGCGAAGGCATTACAGGGAACCCCTGATATGTTGGGCACACTGTGAGTGCTCAGAGTTCTTGTGTGCTCACACAGGGGCCTTTCTTGCCACTCAGAGTGGATGGAATGAAGGGAGTAGGTGGACTGAGACATTGGTGGTGGAGCAAGCCGTGAACAGGTAGGAGTCCTTCCATGATGGCAGTCCTCCATGCGTGGCGCCTCACTCTGGAGGGCTTCTTCTTTCTTCACAGATGACGGAGAGATGAAAATTGTCGATTTAACTGAAGACTGATCATCATGTTCGATTACCCCCTTTTCCAATTCCTGCTCCTCTTCAGGTGTGTACTTATAGGTGAAGGAAGGTGGGCTGCATCTGGTCTCTTTTCCTGGAGATAATCGAACATTGACAGAGGACACAACCCTTACTGGGCTCAATAAGGTAGTTGGTAAAGACTGAGACCTTCTGAGAGGATAGCCAGCTTTTGTATATAAGTACCTTTGTTTTAACACATCTTTTGATTTTAGCAGGCTACGCCCTATTCGTTGATGAGATAGACTGCACACCTTCATCTGAGCTCTTTGCAAAGCTGTATTAACTCTGTCCACAGAAGAGGGAGGCCCCATTTTATTTTCAGAGCTCATATCACTGCATTTAGCTTCAATAGAAGCCAATGATTTTGGAATATGGTGTGTGATATACTGAGTAAATTCACATTCACTGCTTTTATCCACATCACTTTCAGCACTTGCTTCCCTCAGTAGCTCTACCGTCTCTGTTGGAAACAAACCCTCTTTCACTTCAGTAATTTCAGTAACATGATCCCCTGGACAACAGGTGGACTGTTTATTTCCTGGATTCTCAATGGTCTTACACTGAGGGAAATCCTGGCTGCCTGATTTTCTTCTGTCAGCAACTGCTGCTGCCACCTTCTCTCTTCCCTTCTGAAGAGGGATGAGAGACTCCTCCTCTGATTCATTAAAATATGGCTGGTCTTGTGCTGCAGGTGTGGCAAGGTCTTCACCAAATGACGTAACTGTTGTCTCACTGTCACAACTATCAGCACTACTCCCCATGGCCTGCAAGGACTCCTGAACCTGTGAAAAGGAAACAGGTGGAAAGATGAAGAATCTATGTAAGAGGAATCATTAACAAAATACCAAACCGACATGGTGCTTCTGTAATTTCAATGTCTCCAGCACAGTTGTGGCCCTGCTGCTGATCAGAATTGTTTTATTGCCCCTGAGTAGCAACCACAGTCCCCCTTCCCCTCACTTTCTCACAAAGATCAGAACTTCACTGTTTTCCTAAAATTCCCTTTCCAACAACCTCCCCCTTTCCTTTCAATACAACACACTGACTCACAGAGAAAATGGACAAACATTTCCTAACCTTCTGCCCCAACATCTATTAACTTCCTTGGATCTCTCCCTATCATTCCCCCTTCTCGCCAATCTGAAAGGAAACCATTCTTTTTTTCAAAGTGAAGCCCTCCAACTTTGGTTCCTGATCACATCCTCTCCAAGACCAGGGTATCTCTCCACTTTCATCCCAGATTTTTCTGAGTCAATTCTTCTCTTATAGTTCCTTCCCTTAGCTGAACAACTTTGCCAAGTCATTCCATGTTATTATAAAAAGACAAAAAGACCCCTCACTCTGAAGCTGTCATTCTTATTTGAAAAAGAGGCACATTCCTATATTCTCTTCCTTATCTTCTGAAAGTTTCTCCTCCATCTTCCAGTGTTTCTGTCCATTTGATTATTCTTTCTCAGTGACCTTAGATATGCCTCTTTTCTGTTACCGCTTAAATGCTATGTTCCTAAAGGTCTTTTGGTGTTCTTGTTCTTATCCCAATTTTCTTTAAAATATGTTTACGGATGTTTCAAATGCTTTTTGTGTGCATTCTGTGTACTCTACATATAGACTATAAGCTTCTTGAGAATAAAGATGTGCCTGTTCTCTGGGTCACCTCACACAGCCTAGCATAAAAATTAGTATAACACTCAGTAAGCTATGAGTCCACAATTGATATCAGTTATTAAAGAGGCAAAACAATTACTGTAAAATACTGAAACACAATGATGGTTTTAAAAAAAGAAAAATAACAGATAAAACAGATCAATGATCACAATAATCTGTCTACTAGTAGTCCAAAAATTAAGGGTAAAAATAGATTTAAAAAAATATTCAGAGAAGAATTAATGAAATCTAAAATGTATAGTCAAATGCTTAGATAACATCTACATGCCAGGAGTTTTGTTCTGTCACTTGAAAAATAAAGATTACACAGACTCAGTATTAAAATATGTAGTTATTGAAAAATAACCTTAAAATGAGGAAGTTAATCATAGTGCCTATTAGAACAGAAAATTTTACCTGAAGATGATTAAGGGACAGGCAGTCTGCAGAATCTTCAGCAAAACCACTGCTATCAGAATGCTGACTTGCCGTACGTAACAGATGATCTATGAATTAAAAAAAAGTGGCTATAAAAAAACTACTAAATAAGACTTTACTGAGAGCAGTATTACTATAGATATGAGATTCCCAGCAGATATAAAATACACAATATTTGGCTGCTTCTTAGAAAAGTATGCACTACTTATGCAAAATTATAGCTTCAAAGTACAGGAGGAAATTCAAATTCAAACAGAAACTGTTTGAAGCTCTTCTATCAGAATCTCTCAGTATTCACTCGTTAATTAAGCTCTAAATCCCATCAATGTCTTATCCTTGGAGCAAAACTGGAAGTAAAAGATGGCTCTAATAAAAACATAAGTCCCAAAGTAAACCATTTCCATTATGTAAATATGTAAAGATATTTAGGAGGTAAATTTAGAAGTTTAAATGGAGAGTACAGTGTATAAAGATTTCTATTATCTTCCCAATTTAAAAAATATAATTAAGGCCAGTAAATTAAATAATCTGAAATGCAAGCATACTTAAATATCTCTGATGTTTTAAATGATGCAAATGTGTAAGGTATGAAACAATTCTTTCATAACAATTACATGAAACTCAACAAAATAGGCTCGACTACAACATAATATTGTTAATCTAACAGAATCTTTCTGTTCATTTTTCTTACTCGAAATTCTAATTCGTGGTTAGTATAACCTATAAATGTTTCATGTAACTAAAAAGGCCAACTGAGCATTACAAGTATGATCCCATTCTATCCACACTACAACTACCACAATGGGAGAGACTGTACAGTTCTTACATTCACCAAGGGAGAAGCTTCAAGACACAGCAAAGTTCTGCAGAAGTTCAAAGCAAAAGGCTAAAGTGTGTTTACCAAAACCATACCATATTCATTTAAGACATGAACCACATAGAGAAAGAGCCAAATAACATAACTGATTAAAATCTAAAACCTACTAAAGTCTACTTGGTTTGAAAAATATCCCACTGTAAACTCAGTTTCCATGGAATAAATTTTTCCCATTAAAAATTTAGAATACTTCTGTAATGTTTTTTGGCTTTAACAAGACTGCAAAATGAAATATAAAGAATTATTCCATATCCTTGATAAGTCCAGGTAACCGGGAATACTTGTAAAACTGAACTGAAACTGAAACTAAGCTCTTAACCACCAGTACTGATCAGGCATTATGTTACTTGGTAAAATGATTAATGTCTTAGGTTATAGCAGTTATCACTATAATTATGTATCTTCATGTCTCTAAACTAGATTGTGAGTCTTCTAAAGGCAGAATCGATTCTTCTTTGTATCCCAGTACCTAGAATATGCTGATGATAAGTAATGTTTGCTGAATGAGTCAATGATACCTATTTCCTTAAAACAAACGCTGTCATTCAAATGATTTAGAAGTGAAACTACCTATCTGGCTGGGCATGGGCAGGTGCCTGGGAGCGCACGAAAGCCAGAGTGAGCAGCTCTGACTGGTTCTTTCTGCTAAGGTCTGTTTTATCTGTAATAGATTACAGTCTATGCCAGGTTCACCTCACAGTTGTTAAGCCCTGTCTGAGTACACATACAGTTTAGGTCATAATGTATGTAGACTGCTTAGACTTCAGAGCAGGTTTCGGGCAATGGGTAAAACGAGGAGGCCTGGGTTCAAGTTCCTGCTGTGTTTCACCATCATAAGCAATAGCTTCTCTCCTCTGCAAAATGAGATAATAATTCTCCTATCTATCTCACAGGGCTACTTCAGAAACTAAGCAGAATACAGGAGAGACTGTTTTTAAACCATAAATCACAATCTAGGTTCTTCAGTCAGACATTTCTGTTTTCAAAAATACAGTCATCAATAGAAAAAGGTGGAACTAAAAAAAAGATTAGATCTCTGTCTTGAAGATACAAGATATTATTTCTAATTAAAAACTAGGAAGTTAGAGGAAACATTAAAGTGAGAATAAAATCTGGAAATTTTGTCTAGTATCATCATAAAGAAACCAAACAACTGTCTGTCCATTCTCTGCTAAAGAAAATATTTTATGTCTTTTTTAATACGAAAAATGTTGGACTTTTCTCAACATATTTACTGAATGCTACCTTGTGACATTCATTAAGTCACTAAACCTCTCTGGGCTTCAGTATGTAAATCTTGGTCTGGATTTGAGATTAAGGTAATTTTAATTTCAAAATTCCTATTACCAAACTGCTATATGCATTTTCACAAAACTTCTGAAGTAAATGTATTACCAGTGTTTCTAACTCTGCAGTTATGATCAAGCTAAGATATTTACATAGCATATAGGCTACTTTTCAAAATGATGAAACACTACGTTGTTCTCTCTTCTCTCTCACGCACACAAACACAAAGAACCATTTTGCTGTTAATTTATAAAAATCTGACTGAGAAACGGAAACAACCCAGATATGAATATAAACCACATCCAATCATTCCTACCACAGGGATCTTGCTCTTAAAACATCTTAAAGTAACTTTATTGTTTTCTTATCCTTCTTTTAATGCATGGCAAGCTGCTTTTTCCAATATATCCATCTACCCATCTAAAGCAAGGACTTCTTAATGACCATGATCTTGGCTCAGAAGCACATATATACATTTATGAACTTACAAGGGGAAAAAAATTAAATAGTAAAGTTCATTTTAAGTCTAACCAGATCTGCAGTGACTTAGTGAGAGTGAAGCTCTTGTTTCTTAATACCATACTGCAATAAAAAAAAAAAAATACATGCAAATTGTCTCCTGTGAAGTAATTTCAGAGATCAGGAGGCAACAAACATGCAATTTCCTATTCTAGGAACATACATACAAATCTTTGTTTTTTTTTAAAACAAAAAAAAAAACGGGTGGTTCAGCATGTGTAAAGTTTTAAAAATAAACAGTCCTACCTTCAGTGGTCATTTTCACTTCTTCCTCTTTCCCTTTCTCTAAAGCTCAAAAACTTAGTAAATCCAAAGATCAGACATTTTTTGTTGTTGTTGCAAGTTAAAAGTGAAAGAAATGGATTCAAAGGTTCTTTGGTCAATAATTAATAATTAAGAGAGGAACAATATCTACAGCCACTCACCTTTGACCCACAGTTTGAATTTAACTAGCTTTAACTATTGCTAAGAAAATGGGTAGTTTTTGCTAGAGGACTATTCATGTGTTATACCTAGGAGCTATATTTATATAATGAAACACCAAAGATAGATAATACCAGTATATTTTCAACCATAACGATGTAAAAGGTAGTCCTAATCCATTGTTCTTTTGATCACTCCTCAACTAGCTTCTTGCCCAAAAGTGAAAAGTACTTAGAGTACACAAAACTGTGTAATGAGGTCATTGCAGAAAAGCAAACTAATTAATGAGCTCAAAAGTCTTAAAAAAATATGAAAAACTTCTACAACCAAACAATAATGAATCATGTGTTCTTTACCTTTTTACACTCATAAATACTGCGAATACTGATACATAAACCCCTTTTACAAATCAACTAATACTTGATAATGTGCTTGAGAACTAGCAGATATTGGTCCACTTACCTCTTTTTGACTTTGTAAGACCCAGCTGGTAAGTGGCTGGAACATGAGGAGCTTCTCCCTCCGTACTTTGAACCTAAAGAAGAGTTTTAAGTAGTTAAAACTAAATGAATCTAAGACAAACTAACTTCTTGAATAACCACCTATTAAACAAATCAACCTAACTCAAGTGCACCAAAACATTATATATATTTAAACTTAAAGAAATGTGATCTCAAAATTATTAGAATGTTCCACAACTAAATTTTCTGGTCTATTTTCCAGTTAACAATAGCACTCAAGCTTGCAGCAAAGAAAGATAACTGATGGAAATGAGTGCATCAAGTGTGCACTAGCTTCCATCATTTCACCCTGTAATGATTAGCTCTTAAATACTAAAGAACATCCTAGTCAAGTGTAAAAACTAGCCCATATGGGTTTTTAACCTTAAATAAATTTTAATAACTACTTCATTTAAAAAAAATGTTGCTATTGCATGAAAAACAGATCTATAAGAAAAAGTCCTCTAAATGTTAAACTTCAAAGTAGGGTAAATTCCAGGAGAAATTCTAATACACTCACTGCAGCACATCATGACCAACACACAGTTGAGGTAATTACAAATCTTGCATCTTTGAAAATGGAACACAGTGCTACCATTGCAGAATTAATAAATTCCCCCAAACTTTCCAGTATCAAAAATTGCTCATGTGTGAGACTGAAAAAAATGTTCTTTCAAGACATAACTTGGGAGCTGTACGTGGAAAACCAGGTTTCATGACAGAACTAAAATAATGAAAGATATTAACCATAAATCCTCCCTGAAACACTGTTCAAAGAACGTATCAAACCCAGAAGTTGTCTTTTTGTGCTTTATTTTTCTATCTGCACAAGTACATAATTTAGGAATTTTCAGATTCCTAAACCACCAACTCTACCCCACAAACACTCTGTCTATTCTAACAGAGTTAACTCCACATCAACATTAAATATATGGGGAGTGGGAAGGATGTGCAATGTTTTCTGTCACTTCACCCTGTAATGATTGGTTCTTAAATAGTAAAGAACATCCTAGTACAGTGTGGTAACCGGCTCAACATACGGGTTTTCAACCTTGAAAAAAAAAATCAGAGTGCTAATAGCTAACATATTTTAGGAAAAACTGGTAGTTTTTAGTTAAGAAGCTACTCGATTATAAGAAATATTCCAAAGGAAGCCCAGAGGTTAAAGATATTACCCAATTTGAAATTTGCTCTGATTTGTGGTATCTTTGCTCTATATAGCTCCCTGAACCCAAGTTTATGAATCTTTTGAAAACTGAAAGCACACTGCTCATGCAAAACCATCACCTGCAAATCAGATACATAAAATAGATTCCACTTCTGTTATTATTTTAAAATTAGAATATATTCTTTGAAGCAGCAGACACATGTTCAACAGGAAAACCATTGTCTTGTATGCAAGGGAACAATGTGCATTTTCTTATTATATTCAACAAAACGGCTATTATTAGCTTCTATTCAGGCTTGATCTATTTCAAATAATTTTCTGTAAAGTAAGTATCAACCAGATCAAAAAATTATTACGAAAATTCAAATGCCTCTTCATTTATGTTCTAGGAATTCTGGCTTAGGCACAGCATTAATACACCAAATCTCTCACTTTCAGATTTTTAAAAAATTTTTAATCTAATTTATTTAGTTTGAGACCCTATTATGAGACTGGCTAATTTTTACATTTTTGGTAGAGATGAGGTTTCACCATGTTGCCCAGGCTAGGGTCTCAAACTGCTGGGCTCAAGCGATCCACCTGCCTTAGCCTTCCAAGTGCTGGGATTACAGGTGTTAGCCACCGCACCCAGGTGTTTACTTTTAAATATAGCATTATCACATATTCTATTTCCTTAGACTTATGAAATTAATCACAAAATAACATGACTTTAATAAACACCTATCCTCAGTGTACTATCCTTCAAGATAATACTCTGTGGCAAAAATAAATCCACTCTATCCTTTTACTACAAACTCCATAATTAACTGCAAGAAAGAACACTTCAAAAAGCTGAGAGGGTCATATTTACTAATAAAACTACTAAAGTCGGGATTCTTCTTCTTGTTTACCCAGCAAGAGAACTCACTTGCTGAAGAGAGAAACAAACATGCCAGTGATAATGGATGAATTTCTTATTACTGGTCACAATTGTGGGAAAAAAGGCAGTCAAATTTGAAATGGGGTACACCACAGAGAACTATGAAGAAAATAGAGAACACAAAACTTGATTTATGTGACAGCTTTTCCCTATTCAATGGTTTCAAATGCTCCACAGAATTCTGGTCATTTTGCTCTAGGCAGCTTTTCAAATTAACAAGAATAGCCAAATAAAACTGACTTGAGTGAAGGGTGTTCACTATACTATTTTCTCTAATATTCAGGTAAGTTTGAAACTTTTCAAAATAAAACAGTTTCATAATTTTTTTTAAAAAGCCTCTAAACCAAAGGGATAAAATTGCTTGGTCTCAATGTTTTGGGATTTAAAGATGCATGAAAAACAGCTTTAGAATAACCCATACATTTGGGTTACTTCATTTAAAAAAGTTTTCATGAAATAATGACTGTATCTTAATCAATGTTCAGCTAATATGACAGGCACTCACTTTGGTTTCTTTTTTTAAAATGTATTTTTTGTTTCAGTGAACCACTTTTGTGTCTTAACAGCTGTCACGTTAGCCTCGACTAAGAGGGATCTTCTAGGCACAATGTGCCCTGTATTCCACAAAACAGCAATACGTGTATGTTCTAACTCAAATAACCCTTCCTCTAAGGTTTAAAAAGACTGCATAGCTGTTGTCATTGTATAAACATTGTATATAAAAATGGTTTTCAAAGAAAATCAAAACTAGAGCTTTAGAAATTACAATTCTATCTAATTTCTAATGACAGCTCAAAAAATGTCAAAGGAAACCATTATTTTTCCAAAGTCATAGCATAGTGCTGCACATCAGAGGATGAGTTCTTGTATGATGGCTGATCATACCAACATAACTGACCTTTAGCAAAGTATGGTATAGTTAAAAGGAATCTGAATTCAAGTTTATTCATGCCACTTACTGACTAATGGCCTCTGACAATTATCTGCAATAATTATCCATATTTTTTTCTCTTTTTTATTTTATTTTTTGAAACAAGGTATCGTTCTGTGCCCAGGCTGGAGTGCAGTGGTGGAATCATTGGCTGCCTGGGCTCAAGCGATTCTCCCACCTCAGCCTCCAGAGGAGCTAGGGCCACGGACATGCACCACCATGCCCAGCTAACTGCAAAACTATTTGTAGAGACAAGTCTTGCTATGTTGCCCATGCTGGTCTCAAACTTCTGGGCTCAAGTGATCCTCCTGCCTCAGCCCCCACAAAATCCTGGGATTACAGGTGTGAACCACCATGACCAGCCTCAAAATTGAAATTAACTTTAACTGCAAAATTAAAATTAAAATTTCTACTTCACAGGTCCTTGGAGTGATCAAATGTGACTATAAGTCAAAGTACTTTGAAATGGTAAAGTAGTAAGAATGTACAAGTGATCCTCCTCTGCCAACCTACACTGACACTCGCTGTGCTCCTTCCCCCGTGAAACACTGATATCAAAGGGAATATTATAGCTCTCAGAAATAATGAAGAATCACTGCTATAAAACAGAATCAAATGATGGAGAGGATGCTTCCTCATTTGTAATGGGAAGAAACTAGTAAATGAATTAAAAGATCTCTTTTTGTACTAGTTTATGATTCTATAAATTACTTGCAAATGTTTATTTTAAAAAAATACTATCGAGTTTTACACATACACAAAAAATATCATTTATTTTTAATGTCAGGTAAATCTTTTAAAAATAAAAATTAACTTCGGTTTTTAGGTAAGTATCACATAACAAAACAGCGGTTAATTGGGCTTGGAGTAGCAGACATCTGCACATGTCATATGTTAGAGTTTATATGATAGGGCAGACTTATCTTCAAAAAACATACAGTTAAATTTGAAAGGCCAAAGGAACAACTTAACTATCTGTCAAATATCTGACTGATGTGGGATTATTTTAACTCAGACCAAAACATAGAAAAATCCCAAAACTTGACAAGTAAAAACGAGCAGTTAAATCAATAATTAGTATGAAGACAGGACTAGAAATAATTACTAACACATCAGTAGCTTAAAAAGATTACGTATATATCCAATAATGGTTATATTTAATTAAAAATTCATTTATAGGGCAAGAAGACCACACAATAAACTGCTTACAGAAATACAGAGATAAAAGGTCATCTTCTTAAGAAGTTTTTCCTTTACACTTAAAAGATGAACATCTGCTTGAGAAGAATCATTTTGGTTTAACTTGTCAATCAATCATACTACTAACCCATGGCTTCAGAGAGTTACCATGATATATTCAAAATAAGCCATTCAAGAAGAACACAAGAATTAACAAAGCAAATCATTTGGAAGAATTAGAAATTCAAGATAGGGTTTTACAACTTTTCATAAATAGTTATAGGCTGGGCTCGATGGCTCACACCTGTAATCCCAACACTTTGGGAGGCCGAGGTAGGTGGATCACGAGGTCAGGAGTTCGAGACTAGCATGGCCATCACAATGAAATCTCTTCCCTACTAAAAATACTAAAAATCAGCTGGCTGTGGTGGTGTGTGCCTGTAATCCCAGCTACTCGGGAGGCTGAGGCAGGAGAATTGTATGAACCCAGGAGGTGGAGGCTGCAGTGAGCCGAGATCACGCTTTTGCACTCCTGCCCAGGCAACAGAGAAAGACTCCATCTCAAAAAAAAAAAAAAAAAGAAAAAAAAAGAAAAGAAAAAAATAGTTATAAATATTTATAACTATTTTAAATAGTCTACAAGATACTTTATAAGACAAGTCGACTTTTAAGTGAAAGCAGCCTTTACTTTTTCTAACATAAGAAATAGAAACTTACATTGTACCAGGCCAGGATCAGTGTCATCATCTATTTAGTGCTCTCTACACTTAAGTTTTGTCTCTTTGCTGCTGGTGACTGTGGGATCTTACCTCCTCTCTCAAATGGATTAGGCGACTTCATGCAGTCAACATGTCTGCAACATTTTCTTTTTCCTACCTTCCCAAAGCAGCTCATGCTCAGATAATCTTTCTGAGAACTGATTTACTGAGAGAGCGACAGCGCTCTTAACTTGTATTTACTCATTGTTTTCACAGCAAGAAGGTTCCCAGCAGGAATCAAACCTCAGTGGAAATGGGCCCCAAAGAAAAATAGTAACAAACTACACTGAATAGGATGTAAAAGTCAGCTTCAATAAGATTGTTTTCTTCATTTGTCAATATGATTCAAATGCTTGGGAGAAGAGGAAATTAAAGTAACACATTATTTCCTTTCTTTATCCATTGTTCTACAAGCTCTCTTTAAAGTTCCCTAAGGGATGAAAACACAATTCCAGGAGGTTTTTTATCCATATTTTAAATGTATCTGAAGATACATTATTTTCTTTAAAATTCCCCATATTTACTATGTAGCTGTGGTCGACCATATACTTTTTGGGGAAAAAAAAAAAATCTTCCATTATTTTTCAACCACCAATGCATGTAATCTTATGCTTCAAAAAAAAAGTTCACATCAATGCCACATTACTTTCTTCATTAACCTTTTTTTGCCAGTAGAGGGGGCAAAAAAACCCAGCCTATAATTAAAAATTAACTTGCCACAAAAATACATTTAGCACTTCATGTAAGTGTTTTAAAAACTTTGTGTATGCTATCTTAAAAATTTTTTTAAACTAACAAACTATAGTTTAGAATTCAGGAATTTCAGAAATTAAAAAGAAACTTCCTTGACTTCTTTGAAGACTTATTTGAAAATATGAGTGTTGTTCATTCAGAGTCACCAATATTAGATATGCAATTACCTAACATAATTAGTATAGATCTATATGCCCTGCTATTGTATTAAACAAGGAAATTAACTGTCATATCTAATTATCATAGAAGAGGAGCCCTAATGGTAGGCAAAAATTTACACTTTAATTATGAGTGCTGGAACAAGTTTAGACCAGAACAAAGTCAAAAAGGAATCAGTGAAATAGAACCGAGGTTTTAATGTAGTCATCATAAAATAGTCATCTTCCACACTCACTATGATGAGAAATAAACGACATCAGGAGGTAAACGTAGAAAAAATAAATAAATATATATAAAGAAATAAAAGAAAAAAGCTTAAAATGTAAAACATTCCAAGGTGCTGCTCCTATTCACTTTTTATTTCACTACTCAGTTGTAATTAAAGTATTAACCACAAAAAGGTACAAGTCTGTATCAGTAACTGAAATTTTGCAATAAATAAAAAATCTTTACTAATGTGGGAAAGAGAGACTCACCTAAGAGGACATTTATGAGCTGAATCAATTATCTCATTTGCTAATTCCCTAAACTAATGGTGTGTAATGTCAACACTACTGTGAACTATTACTAAAACGAATCTAATGCAATAAATCACAAAAGACAAATTGCATATTACATAATTTATAGCCACAACTTTTCACCAGCACACATATGCCTCACTTTCCTCATGTAAAATGAGACCACTACTGTGTGCCTCACAGGCTGCAATGAAGTATTTCAAGAGCCAAGAACAGTACCCAGCACAGGGTAGTTGCCTGATAAATGTCAGTTTTCCTGCCCCAAGCTATATATAACTCCAACACAAAAGTATCGGTTCCTACTACTCAGCAGCAGTTTTAGCTGAACCTCATTCAAAGTAAGTATCTTTATCTTGTCCAATCCAAAATTTATGTTAACTAGCAGGTATATCATCACTGGACACAAACAAAAAGTAACCAAACGTTGGTCTTCTGGGCTTGCAGAAACCCTATTCAGTGGCCTTTCAAACCTCCTTGTTCAAGGGTCCCTATCCTCCCCATGCAGGTATGTATCTTCATGTTCTTTCCAGTCATATACCAATACCTAGCCCCAAAGCATTCTTCATATATCCTTACCACTGAGATGTTAAGAAAAGCTTGCCCAAAGGCACACAGCAATTCAGTGGCACACAGAACTCACACCCGTTTGATTTCAAAGCATGTGTTTTTAACTATTATGCAGTATTGTTTTGAATTTAAATATACTCTCTCAGGGCTTTCTTGATCATCAAAATCTTACCCTTGAGAGAGAAAAGAGGGTTACGGTTCAAATATCAGCTAGTGGATGAGTATCTGGAGTTGCTGCTGAACTGTCCCATACCTCAACATCACATAATCCTGAGACTAATTCTTGGTTTGTGAAACATAAACTTGCAAAGTCAAAATTAGGATAAATTTTTCTAGTATAAATCTATTAGCTACCTCTCATTTTAAAAGCATTTTTGGTACTTTTTTTTCCTAGTTTGCAACTTGAAAACAGTTTTAGTAATTTTTTACTTACCTCTTCCATTTCAAAGGAGTCCTTCTGCTGTGTCATTATATTTCTTATGGATGGAATTGTCAGTGGTGCACATGGCTCTTTTTCAGGTGCGGATATATGCACACTTTTCAGCTCACTATTTTCCAGCTCACTAAGGCTAGATATGTTGAAATCACTACCTAATGTGGATTCTATAACATCAGATTCCTCACCCAGCTTATTCTCATAACTTGGAGTTTCTTTACTTTGTCCATTTTCAGTTTCTTGGTTAAAATTACTATTTGCTTCATGAGAAATTCTATCACTATTATCATTCTCCAAAACAGCTGCTGAACTACCCGAGACTTCTTCTTTAACTGTAGCCAACATAGAAGATGACTCTTTCTTCTTTATAATTTTTTGAGACTTTTGATCATTTTTATTGCCACTTTCTTCAATCACTGAAATATTTAGAATCTTTCCTTTATCAACTGCTGGAGAAGGGCTACTACCTTCTCCTTTCTCTGTTTTATCAACACATAGATTTAGTTTTGATAGTGTTTTCATTAAACGATTTGCAGTGTTACTTCGAGTTAAAGGTGGAGGTGAGTCTGTCTCCTTGTTAGAGGTCACTGAGGACATACTTCCAATTCTCTGCAGGGGAGTCCCAGAGACTTGTGAATATAAAGAAGAAAATGCATTGGCCACAGTAGTAAGCACTTCAATTTGACGAAAACGGCCTACCAAAAGAAAGAATATTATTTATATGTATATTTATGTTTATATATACATGTATTAAATGTATATATTGTTCAGAATTTCAAAAATGACACTTAGATCACAAAGATATGAAACCGTATTTTTTCCTTATCTAACACTTAAACCTTCTCTACATTTATTGGACGGGAAGGAGAAAGATTTTTATTCTAAGCACTAGCATTTATATTTTTAAAAAATCAGAAATAAGCACAAAGCATAATGGTAACACTGAATAAAACGGAAAAGAACTAGCTATTGGATCTACAGCTGTGATTCTATTCTCAAGTCTGGAACTCCATTAAGACTCTTCCAAAATTCTCCTAAGAAAATAGTAGGTATATATTTTATACATAATTTGCAGCCAGAGAGATTTATTAATCTCTTAAAACTAATCCATGAACAATGCAGGGAATTCTATTTTGGGAACTTTTGGCTAATAGAAAGAAAATAAGCAAAGATATGAGTGAAACTGATCAAATTAGCCAGACTAGTTCCTGAAATTGACTGACTTCATTTAAGAATAACAAGGCTCCTCCCCTACTTCTTTTCTTCTTGAACAAAAGCAATCTGTAGATAAGGATAAGGTTCTGCAAGTTCTTAGTTATGGTAAAACTTGAATCAAGAATTGGGAGGAAGGGAAAAATAAGTAAATTAACCACCATAAATAGAGTAATAAAATGGCTCAAATTTTAATATGTATAAATAGCTTTTGTGTTGATTAAGCTCTTTACTTTCCAGTGCTATTCCTGAAATGAAGGCTTAGAATAAGATCATCTTATTGTAGATGCTATAATTTAAGAAAATAATATGCTAACACTTAAAAACCTTACTTGTTAAAGCATAATTTGGGTTTTCTACTTCCATCCGTTGCATTTGAGCACTCAAAAATACTTTAATATCTATCCCTTTGGCAAAGGATGATGAATTAAAAAATCTGGAAGGAATTTTAGAAGCAATATCTGGTTCATCACGTCCAAATCCAAGATTATAAAGAATTTCTTCGGGATCTTCCTCATAAAGTTCCAACAATTCTGAAACACTACAAAAAAAGGGCAAAAAAAGAAACATGAAAATATAAAATGATAGTCCATATCACATTATAAATAAATACATACTACTGATTTCCTGTGATACTGTGATAAAATCTTTTTTCTCTGCTCTTAAATCATTATTTATTTTACCATGTTTACACATGTGTACTAAGGAATAAACAGCCCTTATAAAGGGTTCATTGTCTCAAGTAGCTAGAATTGCAGAACTTGAACACATTCAGAGATTCCCTATATGATTCCTCACCTTACTTTTTTTGTCATTTTAAGAGATTTCCTGTAAAGCAGCTAAAACAAGTAGAGGACAGATGATGGAGAAAAGGAATAAACAGATTAAAGAAGAAATGAAAAGGAACTGAGGGACATTCTGTAAAACTTGAGCTTTTTTGCTATTCGTGTCTTAGGAGTGGCAAATGTGCTAGGAGGGACAATACAGGTAACAAGCTGACTTCAGAGAAGTGAGGGAGGAGCTTACTTTCAACTTCTCTCCAACCACTTCCACTCAGGAAGTAGGAGGAGTAAGGTACGGAGAGTATGGGTTACACAAAGGTAACTACTGTAATTCTATTGGGAATTAAATATTTAGTATCCCTTCTCTCTCAGACAGGTGATAATCCAAGTTTTCGACTCAGTGAAGAAAATAGGAAAGTTGGAGATGGAACTTCAACAGAGAGACATTTCAATTTCTTTCAGAGAAAATGCTTAAATCTTAATATTATAACTTGGATAACACTTTAAACTGGATTCCACAGGCACATGTACTGATGTATTTTAATATACTCGTGTGTGTGTGTGTCTGTGTGTGTGTTTTGAGAGAGCATCTCACTGTTACCCTGGTTGAAATGGAGTGGCACAAGTACAGCTCACAGGGTACAAGTGATTCTCCCACTTTAGCCTCCCAAGTGGCTGGCAGTACAGGTGAACCACACCACATCCAGCTAATTTTTGCATTTTTTGTGAAGACAGCATTTCTCCATATTGCTCAGGCTGATCTTGAATTCCTGAGCTCAAGTAATCCACCCACCTTGGCCTTCCGAAGTGCTGGGATTAAAAGTGTGAGCCACCGTGCCTGGCTATACTACATATTTGAAAAATCTTTGGTTTACTATGTTGAAAAAAATTCTGCTTAAATATCAAGCTGTAACTTAGAAAAATTTATTCTGATTTTTGTGTCAGAGTCCTTAACAGAATGAATTTTGGTTCTCTGCAACTAGATGTTACTCCACTATGGAATTCCTCTTTCAGGTTGTTGAGAGGGCTCAAAATACTCATTTATAGATTCCAGCAGCATTTTAAACCTACTTGTTGCTATTTTTCAATCTCAAAACTAAACCAAAAAAAGAAGCTCCTATCAGTTGTGCTGCTCCAGGAAACACTCTTCTTGTGTTCTTTATGATTTCATACTATCAAGGTCAAATCCAAGATTGAAAAAAACGGTAAGAGTAGGTCATCTGTAACACAATGTAATTCCAACACAATTTCAGAATAAGTTACCTTGAGACTGTCCCACTACTTTTCCCAGATCCAGTGGAATTCATACTTCTCCCTTTCTGATGAAACTGTAGTCTTCTCTCTTTGGCCAAGATATTATTGCTATAAAAAAATCAGATTATATAAAACTTTATTTTCATTAATGGTCTTCATTTTTAAAAGGAATAGAACAAAAGAGCTACATACCAGTTTTCAATTTGAGCATCACTTTCATGGAGGTGGTTGGCTAGAAATAAAAACAATAAATGTTGAGCACAATTGTTAGTAGGACTATACCATGATACAATTATCAAAAAATCAAATTACCTACAATATTAAAATTAAATGCTTAACACATTAAACATTTATCTCGGTCCATTACATCTGCAGTATGAAAAGTGATATACAGACAGATAAGAACAGGGCCAGGAGCTTTTGAAGGGTTGTGTTGGCAACATAAAACTAACTACTCTCCTTAGCACTTAAAATAAAAAAATGTATAAGTAACCAATTAAATTTCTTTAACAGGTTAAAAATAAGTAATGAGGAAGTTATGTAGCATATATGTGGTGCTAATTATTACATTTAAAAGCTATTAATGAAGAATATCTTAAGAGGAAAACATGATTTAAGTGTGGCAATAGTATATGTCAATTTCGAATATGAATTTTTTAAGGTTATAACTGATTTTTCACGCATACAACTTGAAAACTACTTATTTCAACATAAATTTTCTTTTAAAAATTGCCTTTCAACTTTATAACAGAACTTTTAAGTTCTAAACAGATAAGTGTTAATGTTTAGAGTTAAATTTACATCAATTTAACCTTTAGAGACAAATATAAAGAAATTTAATTATAAACATATCTATTTCAGCATACTTCAATTGCTTTTCATTTCTGACCTGTAAAGTCATGATAATTTTGTTTCTTTGTATCTCCACCAGAAAGGTGCCTCACTCATAGCACTCAGTAATTGTTTAATTAATGGAAATAGCCTTGAAATAAATTTCGGTAAAACAACATAATAGCTTTACTCTTTTATAAGACTCCTTTTTAGGTTCTGGTTTCCAAAAAAATCATTCAATATTATCAAACTATCAAGGCAAATATCAAAAGTGCTAGTTACAATAATATTAAAGTACATTTTAATAAGGGATTGATAACATGTTCCATTGTACTGACTGGAAAGCAGTAACTTTAAGCTCTTTATAGAGTTTGAAAATGTACAAACAGAAATAATAAGAACTAATATATTCACGTTTCACAGTTTTAAATATTAGAAGGTTCTAAATAAGTAATTTACCTTACAGATGCATTTAAAAGAGCACAAAAACCAAGGCTATTAAATTCAATGTATAAATTCACTATTCATCAACTTATAAGTTTAAAGATTTTTTTAAATCCTTGCTTTTTTTAAAGAAAAAAGTACACATAAATAACCGAACTATTCAGCTATGAATAATCTATTCAGTTTGATCAATGAGCTACAAAATAGCTTTTAAAATGCCAATAATCTAAAATCTCTAATTTTATATATGATAAAGCTTTATTACAAATCTACTGGAAAATATTATATAACCTGTAAAAATATTTTAAATAGCACAACACACTTTTTAAAATCTAATGCTTTCTGGAATAAACACCAGCATCATTTCTAATAAAATTCTATTAACTCTGCTATTTTGTCTTTCTCCTTTAATCTTCTAAAAATCAGAAAAAAAGGGGAAAAGACAGGAGATACTTAAATACAAAGAGAAAGACAAGCTGCAGCTGTAAGTATGACATAAGTCTATTTTGCGCTAAAAATAAGCTTCAATTTCGTTTTCCCATGTATAAATATTTAAGTGTCCTTCCTTCTTCAGGACAATCATTCCCTCAGTTATATTACCATAGTTTGTTATAAACTGTTCCTTTAAGCATTTAGTCCAAGAAAGACAGATGAACACTTCACAATGGTTTTTCAGAGTCATCCCTACATGTATCCTACAGACTAAGACTAGTTACTAACATAGAGAGGTAATGTGAAATGTGCCTGAGCCATTTTCAAGACCTTTAGATTTAGCTTGAGGATCATAAACCTGAAAGCGTTGAACTTTCTCATTTTTTTAAATTTGAAAACTATACAAAAATACAGTTCTCCCAAACAAACATACCTTCAGCTCCCAATGACAAATCATCTTCAAAACTTCCTCCATTTCTCACAAGCACACCTGAAAGAAACATTTGAAAACTCATCCTGGTGTTCTTATCCCCCTGACTCTCATAGGAAAACACTGCTTTACTTAAAATAAATTCACCCAGCAAAATATCTCATACAGTAAAATGTTTCAGACTTGAATGTACTCAGACATTTTTCTGATCATATACCTTCAAGAAGCAGGTAAAAGCTTTTACTTTAACATAAAGAAACCACATTTCCAGCAACATAAAGTTCTCAGAAGCCAACCTACAGGCTGTTTCAAACTTAGATTTTTGAAGATGTTCAATTAGACTACATACCAAGAGTTCCATGGAAAACCAGATCCTGGAGCAAATATTCTTCTTACCCATCTTATATTAAGTCAGGAGCCGGATATTCCTGACACTGTAAATGCTTTTTATATGCCTTGCCTCTACCTGCACATGCTTGTTGTACTTTGAACTTCAGAATTCTGTTTTGAACAGGTGGTAAAATTTCAGGTGTGGCAATTTCAGTTAATGTAAGCAAAGAAATGCTGCTCTAAAGTTGACTCAACTTTTGTTCACTCAGTAAGTATTTTCCTTATATTTGCATAACATATTTTTATAATTAGTCTTTATAATATCTAACTGGACAATAAAGACGTAAGTTTCACCTTGTGAAAAGGCTAGGCAATTTGCTTAAACTCACTACTCTTTTACAGTTTATAACAAAGTTTCTCCCTTTGGCTTCTAGCTCAGAACAGCATATTTTACAACCACGAATATCACTTTCATAACTCATATATATACTTTTACCCAGAAGTAGATAAACTGACTGAAGTCTACAAAGAAGTAGAACTGTCATAAAGAACAGATTTAGAAAGGCAACCTTCTCTTACCCTTGAGTGTATTACTGCTTTGTTCATCCAGCGAGGCTCCCAAAGGTGTACTGAAACCATATAAACATACTAGCCTTAGTCTTGTGAAAGGCTGTCTGGAAAGTTGTCATTACACAGCCTTACTTAAAGAGTTCTAGCTAAATAAGCTTCTAATCACAGTTAAAACTCTCTCCCTAAAACAGACAAGGAATGCAAGTGGGTTACATAAGTAATATTCATTAACTAAGCAAATATCTATCATCAAGTCAGTTCAGCAGGAATGATTTAATTATGTCTGATGTGCCAATAATTAGGAGCAAGAATGGCAATGACAAATGATGTGAATTGGCATTTTTCTTTGCAAAAAAGAGACAGAATGACTGACAACAAAAGCATTAAGGAAATGTCTGTTGCTCTCAACCCCTTCCATCAAAAAAGAAAACACGATTAGAATAAAACAAATCTTCAGTCATAGATAACTTAAACTTAATAAAATTAAAGAGAATAGTTGGAAATGAAGCTCAACAGTTTCCTTAAACCTCATCTGTTAATCTATCACTAGCATTTCAAAGTATCACCTACTGCCTTCCTTACCCCAAGGACTATATTTTTCTTTATATAAACGCAGAGGCTTATGATTTGCTTTGTTTTCAAGCTAAAAAATACATATATTCTTCATTTTACTTTGAAAATTACTGAAAAGTTGACCTGAGAATCAACATTAAGATTAGCCATTGCTAAAATTTTTTCATTCTTGTAGTTCAAATACAGATGACAGAAATATCTTTTTTTCAAATACAAAAATAAACAATTTTCTCAAAACTAAGTTACAGTAAGAAACACATTGTTTTATTTCGGAAGGTCTGTTTTGTGATACAAACCTTTCTTCAGCAACAATTCATATCTGTTAAAAATTCATGAGACATGGGATCAATCATGAAAATATCAGTTTCAAAGAAACGTTACTAAAATGCTGATTAAATGTTAGAACTTTCCACAAGTACACCAGCAATGGCAGCTCTTTAAAAATTAGTGCTTTTGAAATGTAAAAGAAATCACAAGCGATTACCATAAATATATTAATAAAATCTTTAAGCTGATATTTGTATATATTTTAATAAAATTCTAATGAATGTCTTTAAGAAACCATTCTTCCCTGAAGGCTACTTTCTTAGATGTAAACATTGTTTTACTTTGTCCACAGATGTCTTTACTGGTCTATGCACTACAGAAAATGGCAAACAAGCAGAATAACAGAAATTCTCCTTCAAAAATAAGTATCTCACTTTTACATTTGCTCCCTTCCAAATTCTATTGAACTCTCTATCATTTCTTAATTGTTAATTCAATAAGTTTTTATTTAGTTCCCCTCCCCCAAATGGTTATCAAAATAAAGACTCCCCCTAAGAAAAGAAAACATGGTATCTTTATTCAGGATATGGATGGCACTAAAAAACAAAGACTATCTGAGAACTTATCAAGTGGGTAAAATACTATCTTCAAGTCATTTGCCCATAATAAACAAAATACACAGATGTCCAACTCTGAGAAGAAACTTGAGTTGTGATTTAAAATAAAAATACAGTTGCAACACATCCTAAGTCAAAGCTGTGATAATACAGCCAGCGTTAAAAGACTACTCGTTCTAGCTTTCCTGGATACAAATGAATGCCACTCTTGTGTAAATACGTGCAATTTTAAGAACAAGAAGGAAATCCATGAGAGAAAGAGCAGCAGACTACAGAATCTGCTCATATAAATCAGTATTGGCAACAAAACTTCAGAAATTGTCAGGGATTGACTGTGTCCTGGGGAAAGTCAACATCTGCCTACTGCATTTATCTCAAAAAAGATGCACTTATTAACTGTCTACTTGATACGATCTCTTACACAATTTTAAGTCCTATACATCATTAAAATACAGCATAATTATCTTGTTCCTAATTTTTAAAATTCTCTTGCATATGCACTTGAATTTAAACAAGAAACACTATAAATGTAATGCTAAGCCTATTTTAAGAAACCTAAAGTAAGCCAATACTGTATTTATGTAAAGACTCAGAGGGGAGGCTTTAAAAGACTTAAGTAAAAGTAACAAAACAACTTCTTAGACACATTTCTAAGAGGAAACTTGAAGGTAGTATTATCAGATCTCTCCCAAAAAGTCCTGAACATGTATATTTAAATTTCAAGCTTTTAAATTGTAGACTATTTTGGTATTTGACAATTAAATGAACCAGTAGTATATTAATACAATTTCCTGATCCATACTTTGAGTGGAGTACCTAGTATCTAAGGTTTCTCTGAAAACCAGGATTGATTTACAGCTAGATTGTAAATATGGGGTCCAAGGACTTCAGGCAGTGTATTTGTCTCCGTGCATCTTTAAAGAGAAGTTATTCCTTATATTTCACAATGTTTCAGAAGGGTCTATGACTCTTTCAATAAAGGGTAGGAGTTCTGTAATGAAAAGTGTTCAATAGGTTTCATTTGATTAATCAAAACAGGGCATTAATATCACGGTAGCCAATATTCTGTGATTAGAGGAGGCAAACTGGTATATATTAAGAATCACTTTCCACAACAAAACAAAACAAACGATCCTAACTCTAGCACTTGAAGAACATATTAAGAAAGCCTAAATTGAGAAGGCAAAAATATGCTCAACAGCAAACACCAACAAAAGTTTAAATGCTACATTCTTGATTAGCACATTTTGCTGTAGCCAGATTTACTTGCAATGTGATTCATCTCCTCTGTATTTTATCAAACATTTTTGTACCAGTTGCCAAAGCATGTAATTAAACAGATTTATGCAGTCTGAATGCTTTTAAGGTTCTATTCCCTAAGAATTCCAGTGCCATCTGACAATTCCAAGTTCAAGAAGTAAACTACAAGTACAAAGTTAGCTAGTTTTAATAGCTCTCCAAACAGAAATAAAATTAAAGCCCATTTAGTGTACTTAGGTTAATTAAACTCGTCTAAAACACATTTGAAAGGAATATGATTCCGTGCCAGTTGTACAGATGTCAAAACTAAAGCAAAATAAAATATCCTGTGAAATGTGAGAATTCTTTCAAATAAAAACAGAACAAACAATATGGCATGATTATCTGTTTTGGATTTCTGATCTCTGATGCTGACACCATGCGCGGGCAGCTGAAGTCCTAACTGTAAAGTCAAGACGGTCACCAAATAATCAGCGGTCACAGCACTTCCATTTCTAATCACTTAGAGGAGGAAGCTATCCGCCGGCTCACTTTCCGGTTTGTATCTTACAACGGTCGCCGGACCCACAGGGACGCGGCCCGAGTGGCTCTGTTCGAGCGTCCACTCTGAACGGATCTCCCCGGGTCGCGGGAGGCAGAGGGAGCACTCACCGGCAGTCCTTGAGCCATATCGCGATCTTCTCGTTGGGCACGTTTCCTGGAGGGGTAGAGCGAGGGGACAGCGCGTTATGGACCAGGAGCCCTCCGACGGCGGGGTCACCCTGGATCTCCCAAATAGGAAAATCTACCACAGCAAATGCAGCCTAAGCGACACGTCTCAGTGTCCCTTGGCAGAGAAATGGGATGACACCCAGTGGTCTCTGCTGACGCTGGGGACGCCTCGTCCAGCGCGCGCGTTTCAAGGTCGGAAGTATCCCCTCTCCCCTCGGCCTACAGTGCCCGAGGCTCTCCCAGAACGTGCGGCAGGAGCCAGGGCGCACGAGACTCTCCCCAGCCCGCCAGCCTACCCCCCGCAGCCCGGCGGGGCGCACTGACCTCTTCCCGCCGCTGCCGGCAGCTGCGCGCCGGGGAGGTCCTCCTCCTCGTCCTCGTCCTCGTCCTGCGTCGTCGCTTCTGTGGACAGATCCTCTGTCTCCGACGCTTGCCAGGAGCTGCGGCACTTGGCCCAGGCCTTCCTCCTGCGACTCGCCACTTGCCACTCCAGTTCCTCCTCCGCCTCCGCCGACCCGGTCAGGGGCCGGTCCATGGCCGCACGGGGGGCTCCGCTACCCCAGCCGGACCCTGCGCGAGACACGGCGGCGGCGGGGACCCCCGCCCTTGCTGTCAGCGCCCGGCCGGGCAGGGGGCCCCGGGGAGCAGAAGCGGGCGCCGAAGGAGGAGGAGGAGGGGACAGGGAGGGAGGGAGGGAAGGAAGGGGAGGGAAGGGGCGGAGGGTCGGCGCTTCACATGAAGCCGGCCGGGCGCGGCGCGGGAGCGCGAGTGGCCCGAGGGAGCGCGGCTGGGAGCCGAGCGCCGGCACGGCCCCTGCTCCCCACCCCCAGCCTGAAGCTCCCAGGGCTGGCCGGCCGCTGCGCGTCTGCGCGCCTTCCCTCGGCGGCGGCCCACGCCCCCTTCCGGCCGGGCGCGCGCGGGGCGCGGCGCGGCGGGGCGGGGCGCGCCCCGCGCCGAGCCGAGCGGGCCAACCCGCTATTGCTGCCCGCGGAATGGGAGAGATTTGTTTGTTTGTTAATAATCTTTCCTTCTCTCAACTCCTCCTCCCTCACCCAAAAATAGAAAGAAAGTCGGAAGGCCAAGTCTCAAAAAACGCCCCCGCGAGAAAACAAGTGTGTGTTTCGGCGCCCTGAAACGTAGAGTTGGAAGAGTCGCCTGAATGTAGACTATTTAGTGTCCAAGGAATTGGGGTAAGGACGGAAAGAGAGGTGCTTGATTGGTGTTGCCAAAATGTCAAAACTGCAAAAGACCAGGCTTCCTGGAGTGCTACTTTCACACTTAAAGTTATTTATCGTGGTTGTGTTATGAATGAAAATGAATCGTGAAAGGATAATTAAGCTGGAAATTTCGCATTGAGGTTGGACTTGCGTGAGGGAGAATAGAGGAAAGAATAATTGGGACTGTGTAGAGATAGTTGCTTGGATTTTGGTGAGACAGCATGCTACAACAAACAAATGATGTCAGGGTTCAAACTGTTTTTAAAGCCAGTTTCGACATCCCCTTTTCTTATGTTTAAATTCTCATTAGCAAAAAGCCTCAAATTCTATCCAAAATCGGACACAATGTGACAGGCATATCAAGCAACAATGTCTCCCTAGATGTTACCTCTAAACTGTACATCTAAGTAAGGCTTCCAATATTTTATTGTACTTGGCTATGAGCTGGAGAACGAATTGGAACACTTTTTAAAATATTAACCTGATTGTAAAGAATATTTTGTATAGACATAATATTTTAAGGAAGGAATTATTTTTTTATTTGAAGTTAAATTCAAGAGCATAGTAAAATTCCTAATGGAAGCTTTCGAATTACAAGGTTATTAAGTGCGTTGTCATTGATAGCTACCGGAAACCATAACTTTTGGAGAATTTGGAATGAAGAATGCTCTGAAGATGAAATAGTGCCTAGTTTTTGTCCAGGCATTTACACATAAGTCATAGACTACCAAAATAGCACTCTGATTTTCCTGCTTTCATTCTTTCCTATCTCCTTTCTAGTGCATTGCTCTAGATTTACAATTCCCAGGACATCCCTCTCTTGTCTGACCAAAATCAGCAACTTCTGATGGTTTATTAATATCCCTAAGATCAAATCCAAAATCCAGACTAGCTTTCCAGAACCATCAAAATATGCTGCTGAGGCTTAAATATGTATTGCCAAATTTCAGGGGAGTTAGAACAGTGATGCTAATACCTCTATGGCTTGAAATTTCACTACTAGCAAATCTTTTCTTTGAAACTATAGGACTTCTCAGCCTTCCAGGGTTCTGTAGCAGGATGCCACTAACAGTTTAATGGCTCTCCAAAATAGGCCAGAGTCTCGCTGCCTGTGTGGAAGATGAAAAAGAGTGAAGAAAGAAGCTACCTAGGAAGAGGCATTGAAAGGGCTGATCAAGTGCCACTAAATATGCTGCCTTCACAGTTTTATCCAGGGTTCTCAGGTATCCCACCCTGTCCCTCTCCTGCTCCCAGCTTCAATTCTATCATATCTAATCGCTGTTGCCTACTCTGTCTTTGCTTCTTAACTCCTTCCTGTTCTTTCTATCCAGTACCTTCATGACTTTCCAAATCTAGCTAAGCCAAAACTTTTTGACTCCACCATTCCACCACTTCTGATCACATCTGTCCCATAGGGACCTAACATACAACAGCATGTCTATGTCATTTATTTGAGGACTGAATTGTACAGTAAATAATATGGCCCTGGAAGGTATGTTTGGCTTACTAGCCAGATTGTAAACTGCGAGAGATGACAGAACATTCTTCAGCATTCTTCTTGCACCCCTTACACTTTTAAATGCTGATCCCACAAGAGATAATGAGTCTTCTTGAGATAGTTTCTGTTTTTTTATGTTCTTCAAAGAGCCACTTAAATTGATTTTTTATGTGCTTTATATTATTTCTATAATGCTTATATTTCATTTAGTTTTTCAGTTGTTTAAATACACTTTCAGAAGACAACAACAAATATCGTGACAGGCAATAATAAACTATAGTTTTAAAAAAGTCAAACAACCAGAGTCAAATAATAAGGGGGAAAAAATACCAGCAGGAGTCTCCAGTTGCTCAGATAAATGTATGTTTTCTTCTATGTGGCATTTTTTAAAGGACTATGTTAAGGGCATAGAAGTATAGAGAAGGAAACCCTTGAAATAGCATGCTATTGCCTTGAAAAGTAAGTCTTTTTTCATTGTTTTCTCAACTTTTACAGATTTTTTTAAATGCCCAAAGTATTTCATTTATTCTATAATGAATACTTCACATGAAGAAAGTCTACATGTTTGCTTCTTCAATGATTGTTTTCCAAGTACTATATTGTAGATCAACTGCAAATATACATTGCAAAGGGCTACAAAAAGAGTATTGTCTGAATCACTGATGCTTGCAAGGTGGAAAAAGAAATAAATTTACACTAAATGTGGATAATTCCATCCAGCATGACATAGTGGAAACAATGTGGTCTTTGGTGTTAGACTGAAGTTTGAAATGTTTCCCTCTTTTTCTAGGTGTATGGTGGCAAGACAGCTAATAACCCTGCGCCATGACTTTTCTCATCTTTGAAATAGCAATCATGATAACTACCTTCCCAAATTGATGTGAATCTCACATGAAATAATGTAGGTGCTCAGTATAGCTATTAGAATTATTATAAATCAATTTCATATGTGGGAATCTCATACTAGTAAATGGCATATATCATTATGCTTGTGCAGGTGTATTTTAAAATTGGCATAAGTTCAGGAAAGGACAGAAAACATATACTTTGGTTAAATCAGGCAGTTTTATATGAAAAAGCTTAAATCATAAGGGAAACGTTGTTGGTTTAATTACTCTAGATATTTAAAATTATAAAACAAGATTTCCTATTGAGTAGGCTAAGCCATTTTGGTTCTATTTATGGTATTGTTTCTTCAATAATATTTATATAATCAAAAACTTTATTTTGTGCATCAAAATCTTAATTATCTAGAATCTGATTAGAGAGTGGTAGAGGTGCAATTATTTCTTCAAATTCTTACCTTTTGTTAAGACAAAAGGGGGCTCAGAGGTATAAGGTAAGTAGAATTCCAGGTTAAATGAACAGAGTAGCATTTTATATTTTGATAGTATTGCCTGGATTAAAAAAAATTCTACGTAAAATAAGAATGGAAAACACTGCATATTATATCCCCTCCCCTTCCTCCAACCCAGCCCAGTCACAAGGAATGTTAAAGACTTGAGAAGTCTTCAAAACTTGTTTTTTTAAAAATTGTTTAATTTTTTAAACCCAATAGTTCTAAAATTCATTTCAACAGAACTCTTTTTGGCCCCTCAATGTATCCATTAACATTTCCAGGGATTTGCAACAGCATAAAAGAGAACAAAAGAAAAATATTAGTAATTAAGAGTAAACAAAAATTTTCAGAGATTTATTTACAAATCATGTAATTGAACTATGAGGAACGCTGGTTAGTCTGACTTAGATGGGGTCATTGATATATTCCTCTATTATTGAAGCCGTTATTAATTATTAGAGTATTTCTGACTATAGTATTTCTGGTTATTGTATCTTTTGTTAAAGCAATAAAATTGCATGTTTAAAGCCTATAAACGTTTCGATTGTTCTTAGAGTTCTTCCACATTAGCAAAACTCCAAGAATTTTTAGATTAGTTACTTTTCCTCATAAGGAAGCATTAATATGTAGAATAGTTCATTATTTTGATTTCTCTTATTTTCCCAAGTACATATAAGAAGGAGAAGCAGCTGTTAATACCACTAGAATTTTGCCTTGCAAGTTATTTATGCAATCTGGGAAATTATCAGTTTACATACTTTCTGATTTTGTGCATGTTAAAGGCTTGTCAGATTTTTCACGCATTCTTAGACCACCATTTATTCAGTTTGCCACATTACGCTAAATTTACTCTTTTCTCAGTGAAACCTTGTGGCCAGTTTGTTTTCTTTTTAGTGGCTCAATTCTCTGGTGTTTCTGAGCAACAGGTAAGAATGGCTCATCTATTCTTAATCAACAATGAAGTGAAGCAAGATTATGTAACAGAATAGACTATTTGGTCTGTTGCTCAAATTCATAAAACAACTCAAAGGAGGTTTTGAAATCCTTTTTACTGAACATAGTTACACATGAATTACAAACATTTTGCTTTCTATCTGTGAAGCCTAATTCTCAAGTTTGGATCAATCCTTTTACTTTTTCTTCTCAGCCCTGTCCTAAAATGTTGCTTTCAAAGTTATCTAATGTTTTGAATCATAAAAGCTTTTAAAAAGGTATATCTGTCCATATCAAATGCACAGTCTATACCCATGCCAGATGATATTAAGAATTTTTCTACAATACATTACTGAACAGGAGGATCTCATTATTGAGTTTCCCAGTGTTAGCACTGTCCTATTATGTAGTCAATTTCTCTTCAGTATTTAAGATTATATTCTAGATCTTTTGTTTATGTATATGATTAATTTCTCTTTGGATCCATTTGGAATTTAAAAAGAAATTACAGCTCACTCTGCATATATTTGGAATTATATATTTTCATATAAATCTCTCTTTCTATATTTTATGCAGACCAGGAAAATGAAGGTTCGTGACTAGATGAACCATCCATCTATCTAATACCGATGTATTTTTGAGAGCTTTAAATGGTACACACCTTATAACAGTCCTTTAGCACACACACACACACAACCTTTGAAAAAAAGAAATAAATGTGGTATGTGCCTGAACCTGAATAAATATAAACAGCACGGGCCTCTCCCAGCACGTTTCCCTTCTGTAATCTCCCTTCTGCAACTCCTTTATGCCCATCTCAGGACAAATATAATCTGCATTCAGAACAGGACCGTTTACAAGTTGAATGGAGTTATTTTGGGTGAGTCATTGAAAACTCAGTACAAAACCTTTTCTCACTCACCAGAAATGCATTTTAAAAATAAAGCCAAAGCGAACAAGGCTTGGCAAGTTTGAGGGTGGACAAAATGGGGAGAGAACAGGTCTTCTGCCAGACTCAAATAGGATTCTGGTAAACCAGTTTTGGCTATTTCTTTACATTCAACTCCACCAAATCACATCACCAACTAAAAAATACTAGCTTAAGCAGGTAGGACTTCAAAACAAAGACACTTCATTTAACACTGTGATGGTAAGCAGATATATAAGAGCTTAGCAACAGTTTAAGCCCCCCTTTTTGTCTCTAATTCAGAAACTATAGAACATATATATTTAATAACCCCATTCTTTTTGTTAAATTAGTATTTGACTAATAGTGACTTTAGGCCATTAGAAAATGTTATATAAATGCAATATGCAATCCTTTCAAATTGCTTTTAAAACAGGTCTCAGAGTTAATCAAATAATAAAGTGCTAAAGGAGACAGAGCTATGGAGACAGAAAATAACAAGCTTGTTTTTAAGAAACTTTAAAAATTGAATTATTATAATTAATACAAGTCTATACCATGGCTTGTTGAATTTTAGATATTTAACATGCAGGTTATTACAGACTTATGTATCCATGTAGATTCTTATTTGTCTATGACTTATCCTGTATCCTGCGGATAACTTTCTAGCAGAAATACAAGTGACTACTTTTCTACAACCTGCTACAGATCAGTCGAGGCTCACATCTCATGAATGGAAAGAAACCTAGAATCATTAAGAAGAAATTCTTAAACATAATGGGAACATAGCATGCTTGCTATAAAATTTGGGAGTCATCAAATAATTTTACGTAGGTTGACCCAGCAGATTATTGTGAGCCAATTAACAGGTGCTATAGAGGGTCCTACAGTTAGAAGTGTTGCCTGTTTACAAATGGCCCACCCTGAAGTTGTGGGAACAAACCAGTTACTACTCATTCAATTATGCACATAATCTTGAACTCCCTTGCAAATGATCAGTTTCCATAAGGCAGGCTGACAATTGGTAAAGGGAATGAAAACTGTTTGAAAGTTAATGTGACTATGGAAGTACAGGGTCATAATAAACAAACAGATATTTCCTGCTATAATTAACAGCAAAGCAAGTACTCTGGTTTCCTACATTTTGGGGACTTTTTTCCCTTCCCTTTTCTTTTATGGTTAAGTAATTGTTTTTAAATTATAAAATAACAACTTATACAGCCTTCAAAAATTCTCTCACCAATCTAGGAATTATTTTATCTCATCTATTTTTATTTAATGTAATCTACATATGATCAAAAACTAAGGGGACTTAATATTTATTGATAGGAACTCAAAATTAAGAATTTCTCCATAATCTTGTTTCCAAACAAACTGAAAAATGAAGCAAGTTTTCATCAAAATTTCTTTGGGGCGAGTAAGTTTATTATAGCTGTTAGATAGCATATTTGGCTTGGATTACAGTAGTATTAAAGAACTAAAGCTTTGTGTATTAATAGACTGTTATTAAATAAAAGAACCACAGGGTAAAGGTCAGCACACAGGTTGTTTTTGCTTAATTGTTAAAGATCCCCTGAGCCAACTTCTTTCCAATTATTTTTAAACAAGCCAGCTCAAGTTGGCACCTTAAAATCCTTTAAATACTGTAATTACAATACTACTGATAATCAGTTTGGAGAAGTACTACTAGAAGAGCAGTTATTTCAGTGGAGCCAAGTAAATAACTGTGGTAGAAATGGATGTTTTTGAGCACTTCCATCATGTCAGATGTGGTATTTTCAGCTTGATTTACACTATGTCATTTAATAAAAAAACTATATGTGTTTGTATTATTCTCACTTTATGCATAAGGAAACTGAGCCTCTGAAAGGTTAAAGCTAGTAAGTGGCAGAGAAGAACCAGGACTTACTCTACCCCTAAAGCCCATTGCTCCTACCTCCCTTGTGCAACTGTCTCATAGTATTTCAAGCCCAGTGTTAGAGAAACATTAGCAGTCACTTAATCTCATCATAATGAAAGGATTCTTTACCTATAGCTGTTGGGCAGAGCGTCAGTGTGACCCATAAGTGAATGGAATCTTGGGAACAGGGTTGGCCTCCTACAACTCCATTTTATGGCCCCCTACAACTCCATTTTACAGGGAAGGAAAACTGAGCTTGAAAATTTAAGTAGCTTGCCTGAGGTCAGCCAACTAGTTAGTGAGAGAATTAGGAGCAAGAATCCATATCATCAATTCAGTGTGCTTCCCACTCCACCACACAATACTTTCTTTTTTTTTTTTTTGAGACGGAGTTTCGCTCTTGTTACCCAGGCTGGAGCGCAATGGCGCGACCTCCACCTCCTGGGTTCAGGCAATTCTCCTGCCTCAGTCTCCTGAGTAGCTGGGATTACAGGCACATGCCACCATGCCCAGCTAATTTTTTGTATTTTTAGTAGAGATGGGGTTTCACCATGTTGACCAGGATGGTCTCAATCTCTTGACCTCGTGATCCACCCGCCTCAGCCTCCCAAAGTGCTGGGATTACAGGCTTGAGCCACAGTGCCCTGCCCAATACTTTCATCAGGAAGGTGTGGGCAGCAATTAGAGTTGTATGCCGCATAACAACGTCTTGGTCAATGATGGACCTCATATAATAGTGGTCCCTAAGATTATAATACGGAAGTTTAACTGTACCTTTTCAATGTTTACATATACAAATACTTGCCTCAAAGTTACTGTTGCCTACAGTATCCAGTAGAGTAACATACTGTACACGTTTGTAGCCTCAGAGCAATGGACTTTATCATCTAGGTTTGTATAAGAACCCCCTATGATTTTCACACAAAGACAAAATCGCCTAAGGATACATCTGCAGAACATATCCCAGTCACTAAATGATGCACGATTGTATAAAAATGTCAACACCTTAACGTGAACATACTAGTGTATATATATCATAAACGTTTCTCATATATATATATATTTTACAGAAACCTGATAAGAACAAAGACATTGCAGATAAAATGAATACATTTTAAAGTATTAATCTAGAAATAAATGACATTATAACCCAAAATCATTTATACCAAGCAGATACTCTCAGAATATGTGTAACAGTCACTCAAAATGTTTTTTAGGAGACTTATCTGTTGGTTTGTGATCAGGAAAATTCTGCTTAAATGCAAGTAGGACATGTCCCTACTTTCTCCTTAACAAATTAAAAGGAATTAGGAACCTAGTATACGCATTTTCACAAGGGTCCAAATCTAGCTATGAACTGATGGGATGCCAACATGAACATGGTTCTGCTCACTGGATATATGCCATTTATATTTTTCATTTTTCACTCATTCATTCAACAAATGTTCATTGGATATGCCAGATACTATGAAGCCTCTGTATTATGATAATGACCAAAACAGGCTTGTGCTGCCATTCCTTCCTACAATGGAAGCCTTTCTAGGTGCTCATCTCATTCTTCCTCCTCCTTTTCTTCCTTCTCTTCATTCCTTCACCTTTTTCCTTTCCTGTTACTTTCTTACTTTGCTTTTTCTCTTCCTAATATGAAACAGCTAGTTCGTGCTTTTTGTATTACCATAAATTATGTTCCAATCTTTACTGTGTAGCTCATATAGTAGAAGGAAAATATTGTGAGTAAAAATGTTCATTCTAGTCTTATTTATATAACAAAAATCAAAATAATAAGAAGTGTAGTTACATTATGATTTGGCTGCTCTATAAAATATTTTGTAGCCATTAAAAAATAAATTTTGCAGACAGCCTAGCAGTATAGTATGATATGTCAGCTTTTAAATATCATTTGAAAGATTCCTTCCTACTGTACTCTTTCCAGGCCCCTGACTACTCTAGTTAAATCACATGTGATGGCCTTTGGAGCAGCTGTGACCAGATTTTAAACCAGAAGAAACATCATTTTCTGCTAGACCTCAGATAGCCATTTTGAAGATGGTAGGGGTGAGGAGTGGCATGGTGTGGCTGTGGTTAAGGGAGGAGTGAACTAACTCTGACGTAGCCTATTATGCTGGTGCACACAGTGGAGATGTGGGTAAAATTTACCTCAGATTTTCCACACAGTACTATGCAATACCACAAGCCTTTATTCATAAGTTGGTTCTTTGAAAAATCTTCTACTTCATGTGGAGATACAGCCATTTAAGAGTCAAGTAGTCATCCTATTCCCCTCTGGGAATCTCTGGAAAGCACTGCACTAGACCTGCACCATTCCCATCAGATGATTACATCTGCCTTGATATATGTATAGTGTTTTGTTTTTTGGTTTTTTTTTTTTTTTTTTTGAGTCGGAGTTTCACTCTGGTTACCCAGGCTGGAGTGCAATGGCGCGATCTCGGCTCACTGCAACCTCCGCCTCCTGGGTTCAGGCAATTCTCCTGCCTCGTCCTCCTGAGTAGCTGGGATTACAGCCACGTGCCACCATGCCCAGCTAATTTTTTGTATTTTTAGTAGAGACAGGGTTTCACCATGTTGACCAGGATGGTCTCGATCTCTTGACCTCGTGATCCACCCGCCTTGGCCTCCCAAAGTGCTGGGATTACAGGCTTGAGCCACCGCGCCCGGCCAGTGTTTTTTAAATATGTGTAAAATGTCACCATGTATCTAAAGTTACATGCATTTCAGTAGCGAAAATGTATGTGTGAGATAAATTAAATCTAGGTTGTAGTCAGAAGGATGTTCCTTTCATATGAACAATTTATCTGAACAGCCCTACAAACATAAAGCCAAGACTTTTAAAACTGCTTTTATCTTAACAAGCCTTCTCAAATGCTCAAAAAATGGAAAAATAAAGATTTTAGCATCCAAGTTTCTTACCAGTATGCATTCATAACATTCCTCAGAGAAGCTGATACTTCAGGTCCAAAATTTATAGCTCTATCTAGCCACATTTGTGGAGAAGACTCAAGACTGGCGATAGAACCTCTATGAACCTGAGTATGTTATTCAGCTTGTGTTTTAGTCCTCTTAGGATAACATCCTATTCTCCACAAGAGAAAAAAGCCCAAGACTATAACATCTCTGCCCAGCCACATTCTTAGAAGACTTCCTTAAAGGGAACCATAATCAGAAAGTGAGGATTTCTGCTTCTCAACCTAAACTCTGGTCTTCTGAGGAAGCATCAACTGCCAGATATAAAACCTGGAGTTTTAAGATTTGATGTAGGAAATATTAAAACCATTTAACACTCTATGTTTAAGAAAAACAATATTCGGAACATTTTCCTAAAGGATAGTAATTCAGCTACTATTGTAACTATAAGAGGTGAGTGCCTTAATAGTATTAAATGATTTTCCAGGAGGTGGTTTTTACAAAAATTCTGTGATTTGTGCAATGGCATAAATCACATGATTCTGATTATCAACATGAGCCTGTTCTGATTATCAACATGAGCAAAGACATGAAATAAAATTACTGTCTCTAAGAAGGAATCTACCTGAATGTTGATGGTATGTCGCCCTGTATTCTCTTTAGGAGGACCTCAAGAGAAATTTCTTTTGACAATATTTATTCCAAGAATGAGCGAAATTCCCAGGACACTTTTTTTACATCACATGGATACTGGGTATTGGATAACAAAGTTTCTGTTTTCACACTGACTGCTGGAGAAATTGAGACCCAAATGTGGAGCTCACCTGTTGAGTAGGTCATCACGGTATGCATCTTAAGCCTTACTCACGTATCTTTTTTTATCCCCATCCTTGTTTTATTCTTTCTTCTTCCATTTTCTTCTTTTCTCAAAATAATATTTTGTTACATTTGATGTTCCTTTTTTTGCAACGTGACAAGGAATAGCTAAATAAAATATGAGAAAATGATGCTAAATTTTGTATTTACTGTACAAATGTGTATATTCATAGAGGAATGTTAGGAGAGAAGAGAACAAATACATTCTGTTGAATGGCAAATTACGGCTGACTTTTTTCCTTTTCCAAACTTCTTGAAATTGTATTTGTAATTTAGGGATGAAAAGTTATTTGAACTTTGAAAGCTTTAGTTACTTATTCCAAAAGCAGGAAGAATGTGCAGAAGTATGTGCATCACACCAAGCAATGTTTGATTATACTAATCAAATGGGGAAGTGCCATATATTGTGTGGAAAATCTGTAGTAAATTTCACCCACATCTGCACTTTGGGCACCAGCATAATAGGCTACATCAGAGTTAGTGCACTCATCCCTTGACCACAGCCACACCATGCCATTCCTCACCCCTACCATCTTTAAAATGACTAAGTGAGGGCTAGCAGAAAGTGATGTTTCCTCTGGTCATAGCTGCTCCAAAGGCTGTCACCACATGTGATTGAACTACTGTAGTTAGGGGCCTGGAAAGAATACAAAAGATTTGAAGTGAATCAAACAATATTGAAAACATGACATATCATACTATAGTGCTAGAATGGAATGTACAGAAGCATGTGCATAACTTCATGCAGTGTTTGATTATACTAAGACAAGTGGCGAACTGTCATAAATTGAGGTTGGAATGGTAGTTGAGCACCAGGTTCCAAGATCTTAGTGCACTATTCTAAGGGATTGTCTTATTGCTGGTAGGAAGTAGAAAGCAGCCTTCAGTTTGTAACTAAAGTGTTTTATAGAAAGATAATTAGCAACTGAATAATTGAAGGAGTAGGACAAGGGAACTCCTCAGACAAGAGAACTAGTTAGGAAGTTTATTAGTATGGGGAAGGAGGGAGGTTGATAAAGACTCAGTGGAGATAGAAGCTGCAGGGAGATCTGACAGATTAAAATGGGTGATGAGGAAGAGCTAGAATGACCCCTAAGATTTGTTTTCTCCATTAGGTCAATGGGTAGGTATTCATGTCATTCTGCATGATAGACAATTTACAAGGATTGGGTATTTGGGGTTAATTTGTTTGAGAGTAAGGAGAATAAAATAGAAGAAGGAAAATTAGTTAATTACTGGACATATTAGATATGATGTGCTTATAATATGTGCAGATGGAAATGTAGCCCGAGGCATTCAGAAATACCAATCAGGGATGAAACTCTGGGTAAAAGTTTGATTTAAATATATATATATAGAAATCAAGGAGTCATAAGCATATAGATGGAATATATATATATATATATATATATAGAGAGAGAGAGAGAGAGAGAGAGAGTGTGTTTTGAACCATTAATGCTGGAAGCCATGTTTCTGTATGTTCTTGGTCAGCCCTATTCCTATTATCCAAGTAAGCTATTCCAAACCTACTGAGGCAATAATCATCAATGACCTCTACAACACCAAATCCATTAGATTTTATAATTATTCTCATAGCTTTTGGTAGGATTGGCTACTTATCTACCTTCTTTCTTGACCTTACATTTTCTGATTCTCCTATTCTCAGTCTCCTCCATTGGCTGTTATTCTTCTACTAGCGTTATTGTTCTGTTTCTGAGAAGAGCTCTCTCTCACGTTCATACACTCTTCCTGGATGAGGAGAGAGTGGTAGGAGGTAAGCAAGGGAGAGGAGAACCACTTGAAAAAACAGAGATCATTTGGGATGTTTAGCAGAGGGATGCCATGAGCTGACTTACATTTTAAAAGACTCAAAATATTGTATGTAAAATAGACTAATGGGGTAGAGATAGAGGTAGAGAAAAAAGAGAATTATGAAATAATCTAGGATTGTACCAGTGTGGGAGTTATGGAAATGATTATAACTGATGAGGATTACGAAGATAAAGTCAATAGGATTTGTTTATCCATGCAAGGTGGTATGTCAAAGAAAGAAAAAGGAAAACAAAGAATTTTTTTTAAGATGACCAACTAGAAGACTAGAGTAAGAAGAGATGGTGAAGACTTCCACTGGAGCAGTTTCAGGGGAAACAAAAGTTTGTTGACTGTTAAGTTGGAAAAACCTATTAGATATTCAAGTAGTGATACTGATACTGATGCTGATTAAGCACTTGGATACAAATACATAGTTATGAGCAAAACTTTGGACTGGAATATAAATTAAGGAGTCATAAGCATATAGATGGTATCTAAAGCTGAAAACTAGTTGGGGCCGCCGGGGTTGGGGGGCAGTTGGTGAAGAATGAAAAGAAGAGATATCCAAGGATCTTGTATACTCCACAATTTCGAGGCAGATAAATGAGAAGATCCCAACAAAGGAGGCTGAGAAAAATCAACTAGTTAGGTAGGAAGAGAACCAAGAGAAAGTGGTGTTCAGAAGGTGACTGTACAAAAAGGGTTTAAAGAGAAGGAAATGATCAACTCCACCATCTTCCTGAGAAGTTAAAATGAACACTGAGAATTAACCTCTGGATATGGCAATAGAGATGTTATTGCTGACTTTAACAATAATTGTGGTGAAATCATGAAGAAGGATGCCTTGATTAGAGTGGGAATCTGTTGGCTGGTTCCTTTTAAGAGAGAGAAATAGGAACTAGCAGTTCTATTCAAAATAAAACAATTAATTGGCTAACATAGAACAAAAGAGCAGGAAAGTCGTTATAGAAATATGTGGCTATTCGGAATCACAGATGTCTGTGCTTGGCTAAGCCTGAGAAAAAAGCAAAATTCTAAAGTTTTGACACTTCTGAGTTAGTTACCTGTTAATTGTAGTGTTAGGCCTTCTTACAAGTACTATAATTTCTCATTAATACAGTAATGAAAGAGGGAAGGTAGAAACAGTAAATGCAGACATGCATATATATATGTGTATATATGTGTATATACACATATATACATACACAAACACATATATACATATATATGATAAAAGGAAGATAGAAATAGGAAAATAGCTAAAAGAAATGTATTATTGAAAAATGACTTTTTTATTTCTCAGGGATACATGGGAATAACACATGCTTATTAGCAAAAGACAGGAAGAAAGAAGGAAAGAAAGAAAAAGAAAGATTAGATATTTGAAAAGATAAGATCTTGAGAAAAAGAGAAAAATTAATCTTAGAAGGTTATTTCCTTCTCCTAGATGGAAAGGAGGTGTAAATGCACCAATGTACTTAAAATTTCAGGGGGAGATAATTTAAAGGCATTCACACCTAATGTCCCATATGTACTCTAAGGACTAGGCCAGATAATCCACTGAAGTGATGGAGCCTGAGCTATTTGTATAATTAAAAAAGGGAAAGATTTTGAATAGCTGTTATTCAATATGGAAATAAAACTACAAGGGAGAAGTAAAATATTCATTTATTCAACAGTTAAGCACCTGTAAAGATTAGCTTGTTTGCTCATAGTAACATACCTGTGAGATGCGTTCAATTATTATTCTCCTTTTGCAGATGAAGAAAATCAGGCACAAAGTGGTTATTGCTGTTTACTCAAAGGCAGACAGCTAGTAAGTGGAGGAGCCAGGAACCGAGCTTCATGCTCTAAACCATTTTGCAATGCTACCTCCTAATATTTCAGCATTTGAAAAAGTCCACCTGGCAGTGATATGACTTTATTTACCAGGTTTAGGTATATAGGTGTTGAATTTCAAAATACTAATGTTTAAAATTCATTCAAGATAGGAATTTAGAGGTTGAGTGTGAGAGAAGTTTGAAATATGGAGGAAAATGAGGGTTTAGTTGTTGAGATAATCCACAGAATGCAGACTAGTTGGAAGAGAGAGGTCAGGAGGGAAGCAAGTAGTCTTGTAGAAGGGCTTAAAGACTTGATTCTTTGCTATTTTCCTAAGGTTTTAAATTCCTAGGAGGTCAGTGGGCCACTTGCCACTTTGATAGAAGTAAGGGGCAGCAAGATATTTGAAAGGGGCAGGAGCTCAGATTGTAACAACATGATGTTGAAGTGTAATTGTGGGAGGTGAAGAATTGCTGGATGACTAGGTAGCACTGGGGTGTGGCACTGGCAGAACACTGAAGTCCAAAGGCATTAAAAGCCCTTATAGAAGAGGAGGTCAAGAAATAAAGAGTCTAGGATGTTGGGTGGGGCATCCCTATAAATACTGATGTCATGTATGAATCACTCAGGATGAGACAGGAAGGGGTGAAGAAAAGGATTTCAGAGACCAGTGGATTGCAGTGAGTCTGAAGAGAGAATGAGCTAAGACAGAGTAAGTTAAGAGACCAGGCAGCCATGATGAACAGACTGCAGACGGCAGTCATACAGGCCACTCTTTCTTTTAGGCACCTACCTCTCTGAGCATGATGGGGAAGCCAAAAGTGCTGTGCCACTGAGGTGCCCAAACTGGCAGCATTCCTGAAGAGCTTTTTAAAGGAGCTGAACGTTTGAAATGATAAAAGGCTTAAATTACCCCAGAGATCCAACACATTAGCAAAGTAAATATTAACACAGTCATATGAATACAGCAATATTAACACATTAGTTTGTCTAGCCCATTTAAAACCATTATCACTTGAGTACAAATAGAGGCCCAAAGATAAAGACACATTTTAAAAGGAGGATTAGTGGAAGCAGGAAGGGAACATAGAAAATTAAGGTGGAATTTGGCTAGGGTAATTTGAACAGCTAACATAAGGAAGAAGAAAAGAATGGTGAACATGGAAAACCACTTACTATGTGCCCCGGGAATAACGCGAGAAAGGGGAAACTGCAAATGAGCCGTCTCCTTCCCTCATTTCAGTCTCAGTAAAAATTATTTCGGATTCAGTGATAACGCAATTTCTCAGCTCTAACAAAGAGTCTCGAAACAAAGTATACATTTTCACAGAAGAAAAATAAAGGCCAGAAACTTCTGTGTAAATATGACGGTGGATAACTTTCTGTCCTGGAATTAGGAGGCACATCCTGTTACAGAACTACTTACTTAATATTGGCAGAAACTGTTTTAATCAACAAAAAATCAGATTTGCCTTGGTGATTTATATTGTTGGTTAGCTATCAAACCACCACTCCTCCACTTTCTTCTTTACCAAAAGAATCACTTTTATGCCTGTGGATATTGGCATCTGCCCATAACACTAAGAGCTATGGCAGCCATCCTGTGACCACAAGGAAAGCTAGCCTGAGAAGATAAACCAATACGCTGATAAGGTTCCCAGATTTGGAAAACAGAAATGCAGGGCATCCAGTTAAATACCTGTTCCAAATAACAAATAGTATTGCGTGGGATGTGCCTTTAAAAACATGCATTGTTTTTCCAAAATTAAGATTTCAGTGATGTATATATTTAATCTGGCAATTCTAGATGCTAGGGATAAAAAACGAGAAAGAAAGATTCTAACTCAATGAATAAGTAATTGAGCTGCTGTATTAGCCAAATCTGGGACTGTCTAACTCAAAACATTTTAATTAATATTGGGCAAATTTTCTTTGCTGTCAAGCCAGTACTTTCTGCATTTTCTGTTACTTACAGCCCAAAGTGTACTTACTCATAGAGTTTTATCATCTCTCTCATTGAGTATGATAATAACATGTCATTCGTCCCTAAGTATCAACTTAGAAATTCTAGTTCGTATTTTCAAAAAGTCTCCGTAAAGGTTGTTCAATATAAAATACATCTATGTTTTAAGAATTTATAATTTTATGTCTTTGTGTATCACCTCATAAGGATTATTTCTGCAAAGTACATAACATATTAATGTATTCAATTTGGCTGGATTGGATGATTTCTAAGATCTATTGTAGTTTAGAAAATATTATTGTTACTATAGGACAATGTAGAATATGATATAAAAGATGTAAAGGTGGGGCAGATACTTTCTTACTTGGCAAAGCACCTAACGATTAAGCCATACCACAAAGATTATCCAATATTAAAATTAATTATATGATAAAAGGTTTTTTGACAGTAGCCACTTGTTTTAAGAATTAATAGGACAATACTTATAACACCACCATCATAAAAAGCAGTAATTCAGTAATTTCAACCTGGTATTTCTTGAGTTATTAGTAAAAGAATGTAATCTTTTATCCACATAAGTTTATAGTTTTGACTGTTAATATCCCAAAAGAACAAAATAATCTCAGGCAAAATAAAACAAGATAAACAATGGAAAATATTTAGATAATTTTACAGGCTGTGTGGCCCCGGGAGCAATAGAAATTGACATTTTCCATCTACTTCCAAAGATTTACCAGAAGCCAAAACCAGGTTTTTGAATACTCTTTAAATTCTGTCATAGGTATAACCACAGTGACTCTAGAACAGAGGAAGTTTTACATGAAGTGACTTCCCATGGTCAGTGGGAAAAATGGCTTAACCTTACAGAGCTTATACAAATGTATATCACAAATGGTGATATACATTTGTGTGCGTGTGTGCATATCTGTGAGTGTGTGCACATGCATGCTTGTGAGTGGCCCAGAGGTGGATGCCCACCCCCACACAAGAAGCCTCTCTCTGCTCTTTCCCCCATGCTCATCATTAAGACAGATCCAGACTCACAAAACCAGAACAAGTAAAATCAGTTTTACTAATGTTTCCAGGGTTGGGAAATGGAAGGAGGGAACACCAAGAAGTTTAATGTACACATTGTCACCTGACATAGCAGCACTCCTCACATTCTGCTCTGATCTCTCTACCTACCTCATCACTCTTCTCCTCTCTCTTTCCTAACACAATCTTACTTAAATACAATTCAGCTTGCCTTTCAAGTTTGCATAGCTAGGAAAAACAGAAATATTGCAGTTACATTATAGAAAACATTCATGTTAAAATGCTGTCCAATTGCCACTATTCTTACTTAAACATACTTCTTGACAGACATCTCTTATACACCCCCAACAAGCATATTTTAGTGTTCATTCAGCAAAACCAGGTGAGTCCCAAAAAGAAAAAAAAATTGCTCCTTAGAAAAAAAAATAACGTTCTCTGTATCAGAACATAGAAACAAACAAGCATACAAAAAACACGGTACATACATGCATGCAAACACACATACCCCAAAGAAGAACAGTGAACTTGAGAGAAGAAAAAGGAAGGAGAAGCAGAAACATTTAACATTTTAGTTAGCTGGTCTAAAAACATTGACAGTGGGAGAAATATATTTAGAAGACAGATCTTTTTGTAGGATGATTTTTGTTTGGAATTCATTTTAACCCGTATATCAAGATCTGTTACTTCTTTAAAAATATGGATTTGCTCCCCCTTAAAAATTAATAATCACACAATAAACTCTAAGTGTCATTCATTAAATTTACCTTGGAAAGATATTTCCAGTTCAGTGATTCCCTTTTTATTATTTATTCATACTAGGTAAAATTTTGTCTCTGTCTTGCATAACAACAACAACAAAAAAAAAAAACAGAAATAAAACCAATAAATGGAAAAGAACATCTCTCCAGCATCATTTAACTCAAACCTTTGGTAATATCCATTGTTTTTCTAATATAGTCAAATAATATTTCTATACTACCCTAAGAAAGACTGTTTTACTTCAAATAGCATTTCTCTAGCTAATACAGCTTACCATAATCAAAATACCTTAATTTATGCAGCATTGCGTTTCAGCCTGGGAGACAGAATGAGACTCACTCTCTCTCTCTCTCTCTCTCTCTCTCTTTCTCTCTCTCTCTCTCTCTCTCACACACACACACACACACACACAGACACACACACACACACACACGACTAAAAAAGTCCTTCTTCAATATGATCCCATTTATGAATTCAAGCCTATCCACTTACAGAAACACTTTTGTCCATTCGAATCTGTCTTCTTTCTCTTTAGTGAACGTGCCCCTCCCCCACTTCTTCCCTGTGCTTCTCTTCCTGTCTTGCTTGAGCCTCTCAACATCTACCTTTCCCAGAAAGCTCTTTCTGAGTTTTCCAGTCTACTCTGGTGTTCTACTCTCAGTATGTGAGTTTAGCATTCCATTGTTCTGACTACTAACTGGTTTATTCTTAATGCTCTGCTATAGCCTCCATCTGCCCTTGCATTCTGAAACATACTAGAAATTTCTCTACCAAAGTTTGTTTATTCATTATTCATACTGTGAATCTGAATTGTCAGAAACGCTAATGTTAATGACCAAAAAATAAGAAAGAAAAAAACAAAGTTTTACTTGTTTTAAAAAAGGACATACAGGACTCCTTTCCTCTTACTCTGGAGAGCAATTTCTAGGCATTTCTCATGCAAGTTACCAATAGTGACATCATTTCAGATTTAGGTCTCCATGATAGTCTTTTTTCTCCATGGTGCAGGTAGTAATACAGTCGTTTTAAAAATTGCTTTTTTACAAGGATTTCTTTTTCTCAAACTCTTTCTTACTCAGGATTTCACACATGTAGAAGAGATGTCAATGGAGAAACCCTTGTTAAAGAGCCTGCAGTGTGTGAGGTGAGAGGTGAGGAATTGCCTGCTTGACCCTTCCTTAGGTAGCTCCTGTGGTTCCTCCAGGGAATTCTAGAGACACTTTGTAGAAATGGTGGAAACCTTGGTCCTGGCTCTGCTACTCTGTGCAGGGTTAAGCAAATCTCTTTTCTCAACCTTAAAAACAATGAACTTGGCTGTCAGGGGTAATACACAGAAACCAAAAAGCTTTATAATGCAAGCAGTAGTCAAGACAATTAAAAGAAATGTCCATGACTATGCCATTTCAATGTTCTGTTGTTGTATTAGGCCAATAATTTTTTATGTTTCCTTAGAAAAATTTGTTTTATGATGTTAGATAAAAGAATCTAGGATTGATTAACAATTAGAACAATTGTGTGTCATTTGCATTCTAGTTTGCAGATTACCTTTTAAAAGTAAATTTCAGTTTTAAGAATTCTATTTTAAGGTAGCATTTTTTTAAGTAACCAAAGTTTGTATTCAATATTCACAATTTCTAATCTTCTGTATTACTTCAAGGATGCAAGCAGTGTAACATAGTGTTCCTACAGAGAAACAATCTGGTATAAATATCATTCAGATATTTGCTTTGGCATGTGTTCACTTAACAGAATGTGTGAAGAAATACACAAACTCAGTGTCAGGCAAATACCACTAAAAAGTACTGCCACTCCAGTTAATAAAATGTACTGATGAAATTTCAGCCAAAATTTCAGTTTGGCTATATTTAAAAACTATTTCTATGGTGCACGGGTTCATTTGTAAATGGAGAAAAAAAAGCAGGCAAAATGTAGTAAGTTCCACTTGATTCAGGCAACCTGTTAAATAAACTGTTGCTGCTTTTACCTGCAGCATACTTTAATGTGACTGCCAACATCTATACATTTTTTAGAATGCCTGGTTTTCTCATCAGATCAACTTGACTCAGCTATCAATAAAAAAGTGCCTTATTTGGCTTGATCACAACTGTTGATACTGCTGTTAGTCTTTTTACCAAAATATTCTAGTTTACAAAATAGATTTATAACATGAAAATCTCAATAGAAAAGCCAATTCTTCTCTGTGTATGTATTTGCATATATGTGTATGCATATAATTTTATAAATATGTATTGTTAAAGTCATTTCTAATGAATTAAACTTTAGAAATAAATTAAACATATAACTTACAAAATTTAGTGAAAATTTTTTTCAACACAGTGCCCTTATTATTAAAAAGTTATATAAGTAACTTAAATACGCTTAAATTGAGAATATTTAGAATTTCATTTTTTGAATGTTCTCAACTCAAAGAAAAGATACTTATTTGAAATAAGAAATATGCTAACTACTCTGATTTGATCATTACACTTTGTATACATGTGTTGAAATATCACACTTAGCCCATAAATATGTACAATTATGGGTCAATTAAAAATAATATTCAGTTCATGTACATTTTTCCCATTCAATAAAGTGTTGTGTTACCTTTCATACAAGATTATTTACCTAACTTAATATGAATTGAGTACTAAATTTGATACCCAGAAACTTGCACACTAATAAAGACCATTATAAGGAAGTACAGTATAAGCCAATTATCATCTTAATGATAAAGGCATTGCTTTAGTATCACGTTTTTGAATATGAAAAAGCATGTGAGATCTGAGGTGAATCAAAGGGGGAACTTTTTTGCCTGGAAAAGCAATAAGGAATTCCTGGTCACATTTACTGTCCCTCCTCCCATACAGCTAACATCAACCAGCTTTAAAAGCACTATAATTAAAAAATATATATATGTTTGGCAGGAAGGATGATTTTGATTAGGGAAAGTCTGAAGGCAAAGGAAAAGGTAAAGAAGTTAGATAAGAAAGGGAGGTATGGGGCTTTTCTGTCTATTATGAAAGTATGTTTATTCTTAGAGGAAACTAGCTATAAAGTTATTGAATACATTGAGGCATAAGCGGGAATGCAGCTAGGACAAATAAGATGTAATGTTTTTATTTTGGCTACATTCAACTCTGTCTCAATTGACCATTCCTTGAGAGAAGAAGAGTACCTAGCATCAATCAATGGAGAATGTCAAGTAAGATTTTCTCTCAAACTCTGTCAGTGCCTTGGATTTAGTAGCTCATCAGTGTTTTTATTTGGCTTAATTAATCTGAAAGTTATAAGGAAAAAACGAGTAAATTAAAGGTGATGCTCAGAAGATACTACAGATAATAAGTTGCTTGAATAGATGGTACCCATAAACACTTGAATATATAATTGCTAGTGATAAGGCCCACAGGAATGGAAAGACCATGAAAAGAAAGTTGAAAATTGGTTATGTATTCCTTTTTCAAAAGATGTTGACTTTGTGGCTTTAAGGAAAAGAACCCAATATTTTTAAATGACTCAAATACATCGAAATAAAAACCAAGAAAAAAACCGTCCTGGTGGTTAAAATGTTGTAGTTCATTTTTTGAAAATCTGACTTTACTATACTTTTGTGTACCATTTATCTATATCAGTTCTTTCCTTATGTGCTAAATCAAATGTGCCTCAGAATTTTAGTAATAGTAAAGACAAGTCTGTTTCTTCCAGTTTCTCCAAAGTTAAGTATTTTAAGGGGAGAAAGACAAGAGGCAAACCTCATAAATTGAAATTATTATGTGTCCCTACTAGAAAATATAGATTTCGTTCATTTTATGTTCAACTGGTAAGAATTTATTGTCATTGGTACAATTTTATGTATCATAGAAGTGTAGCACATCTAGTCTGAATATGTTTCTAAAGTAAGAGCTAGATATTTGTGTTCAAGTTTAAAACCTCCTGAAATAAAAAGATGCCCAAAAGTAAGGCTAAATCAGCCTTACTGCATAGTCTAAGGCTACGAGAACTGTTTATAATTATTTCTATGAAGAACAAGCTTAGTGCAAGCTAACTTAAAGTATCTAGATGAATGGAATCGCAAGTCATACTAAATTAGAACAGTATTAGCTTCACTCTACAATGAGACTTTTTTGGAGTACTTCATGCTAGTCATATCATTACCAACAAACCAAAATTCTTCTAATTATTTTGTTAACATGCATTATTTGATATGCCTCTATGGTAAAATATCAACATAAACACTATAAAATTGTATTTCCTCTCTTGCAGTATGCAGATTTCTCATAGAAAATGTACATATGGCATGGCACAGTATAAATTTTGACATCACAAAGTGAGAAAAATAATTTTAAATTGATTTCTTAAAATACAGTTCTTAAGAACAAATTTCTGTGAAATAGGGTCAGAAATTTTTTGTTTCATAAGAGGTCAGATAGGAGCTTTGTAGGCCTTATGGACTTAGTAGATGTCTTGGCCTATGTCTTAGTTTTATAGTCTTAACAGATTTCCAGGCCTCAGTAGACTTTATGGGCCTTCTAATCTAAATTACAAATACTCAATTCTGCCATGACAGCACAAAAGCAGCCAAATGCAATATGTAAATGAATGAACATGGGGCTGTCTTTCAATAAAACTTTTTTTCAAAAACAGGTAGATTAGATTTGGCCTTCAGGCGATAGTTTGCTGACTGCTGTTGTAAACATACAACCATTTTTGATTTTTGCTGATTAACAAAGATGATTGAAAAACACTTCCCACTCTAGAGTTATTATGAGGATTATGAGAATCAAGCAAATACAAGCACTTTAAAACTGGAAGCATTTCATTTATACATGAACTGTGGTTCTGATTACAAACATGAAATAGTCAAATATTAATGTGTAAAATGGGTATTACCTTCAAATATATTAGGATGCCTTTTTAAATATTATAATAGATGAAAATTATTTTATGTTTCTAACATGTGGGGAGGCCTGGAAATAGTTATGGCTCTCTATTATGATTAGTTCTATCATAACTAGGACATTTGTTTAAAATTAATTCGGTACATTTCAACATGGTGTGTTTAAATACATGGAACTGGCACCGTTTCTTTTCTACAACTTGAAAAATAGGCAGAAACTAGTTTTTAAAATAAAATAGATGTCCCATATTCAATAATACTTCTGACTGACATTAAAATCAGCATTACTGCCGTGTGATTATTGAGGATGAGAAACTGGGGAAAGAAGGAAACAAGTTGAAGAAGTGATGCTTACTTTCTTTGGAACAGCCAAAAGAAATTAACAGCTCATTGACAGTGGAAGCCGAGGTCAACTTTTCATGGAAAAGTCAAGGAGATACTAAACAAGAACTTCTCTGTGTATATGGGGAAATATAAGCTCTGATCCAAGCTAGTTATATACATTGAAATATATTAATGTCTAGACTGTTCAGATTAAAAAATATGCTTTATCAGTTATAAATTAAATAATTCAGATTACAACAACTAGCTCACAGATTCATTAAAACTTTCCTGCTTTAAAGGCAACAACAACAAAAAATTCCTTCACATTTTTAGGGAAATACATCTTGTAAGTGAAATCGTAGAAAGCAAAATAAAAATAAAAAAGAGAAAATGTGTTTTGTAGCTTTCAGTCTCAGAGGAATCTTTATATAAATTATGATACCCACACTCAGTGCGCTTAGGAGCACTCACGTGTTAGCTAGTGACGTGACTTTAAAAATACTTTATATGTTACATAGCTAAGGAAACATTTCTAATTAACCAGGTGCACATTACAAGATTTGCATTTTTAAAGCACTTATAAGGGAGACCAGAGTGTTTTAAAAGATAAGGGAACTAACAATTCCAGTAAATGTATCACTTATTTGAATTAGGAGCAAACCCTAGACAAGTTAGTGCTAATCACATGTTTTTCTGACCTACATAAAATGATTCAACCCTCCCACATCTAGTTACTGAAGGAAAAAAACAACAAATTGCTTAATATATCATTTTTTCCCTCAGGTTTGGGATATCTCCTCTTGATTCTCAAGTCTTATATGAATTTGATGCATATTTCTATTTTTGTACTTACTATATTACATTGTGAGTATTTCTGTTTTTAATCCATATAAAATGAGTTCTTTGTAGGGACAAGTATATATTACTCACAGTATTCCTAGTCCCTGGCACTTAGCATACACTTTATTGGTTGAGTTAAAGATGATATCACAAAAAGTTTCACTGACTCTGATATTAATATTGTTAACATATATGATTTCTCAACATTCTGGCACCATACAAATAACTTTTTCACAAACTATACAGGGAGGCATTAGATGAACTACTTTTTCTATGTACAAAGTTGTCTTTCATAGTTAAAAAGTACTATGTTGAAATTTTCTAAGGTGCCCAACTCGTTTTATATTTTAATTACTTCTTGATAAATGTTTTCAATAGTAAACTTGCACTGACTAGTGAAACCCACTTTTTTAAACTTTTATTTTAGCTTTTGGGGTACATAATGAAGATGTGTTACACAGGTACACGT